GATGAGTCCCTTTCCCCTGACCCCAGTGTATCTTCCTATCCTTTTCAGGACTGCACCACAGCCTCATGTAAGATGATCCGCTGTGACCTTTTGTTACTGAAGTTGGAAAAGTCTCTGGAGTTCACAATCAAGGGGGACATCAGTTTCCAGTGGGCCTCTAAGGTACCAAGGGGGCTACCTGGGCCAGGAAGGGGAGGGTTTTTCCGACCGATGTTCTCCCTTTGATGGTTGCACTACAGAGCCAGAAGCCACTCCCAGCCTGCTGAGGAAGCCCTCTTTTAAACCTCTTTATGGATTCTTTTAGCCTTTTGCTTCTGTCCATGGGGTTTTCTTGGCAAAGATACTGGAGTGGCTTGCCAGTTCCTGCTCCAGGTGGATCGCGTTTAGTCAGAACTCTCCACTATGACCTGTCCGTCTTGGGTGGCCCTGCACAACATAGCTCATAGCTTCTTGGAATTACTCAAGCAACTTAGCCACGACAAGGCAGCAATCCATGAAGGGGACGAGATGGCTGGACAGTGTCATCGGAGCGACCAACATGAATTTGACCCAACTCCGGGAGGCAGTGGAAGACAGGAGGGCCTGGCGTGCTCTGGTCCATGGGGTCAGAAAGATTCGGACACAACAACTAAACAACAACAACATGGATTCTTGCTTATGGGGAGCTCCGGGTCAAATGAAGACCATCTCTCAGGCCTAATTTCCTTTCCCTCCCCCCAGATCCATCAGAGGAAAGTGACCTTGGTGAGCTCTGCACAGATTTTCTACGATGTCACAAAGTATGCACAGAAGGAGGGTTTTGTACAGACCCAGGTAAGGGGAGAGATATGAGCGCAGAAATTGCACAGGCCTCAACTCAGTATTTACAGATGGAATGAGAATTTCTAGGAGGGTGTGTGTGCATCACCTGGAAGGAACTTTGTGGACAGAGAACAAGGGCGGAGGATGGATCTCCAGCCCCCTGGGTGTTCTCCATTACTTGGAGGGGAGCAGACTTTCTCGGCTTCCTAAGACAAGCATGGAACTCATTGCATTCTTATCTACCTGCCTTCCCAGGTGCTGACAGTGGTGGAGCGTATTGAGATCTACAATTACCTGCCTGTAACCATTGGTGGCACAGCTGGAGGGCTCGTCCTTCTTTCACTGATTGCTGCAGCCCTCTATAAGGTGAGATGGAGTTTGGGATGGGTGCGAGAGGCAGAAAACATGTTTGTCTACGTGAAGGGGTGAGGAGATGCTAAGCATGTTCAGAGGACATTTCTCTGATCCCTGGAATAGCCTTAGCTGGTCTTTTGCTGGTTTGAAGCCCAGTGCCTCCCCTTTTGTTCAAACTGGATATTCAGCAGAATGTGTATTGCCCATGGTTAGACTGGTCTTCCTCACATAACGCTGTGTTCTCAGAGGGACCGGTCTCGTCGGCCAGTTTGGTAACTTAAGCCCATGCTTACTGCTTAGTGACCAATCACAAAACAAAGCATGTGAGATACGGTGGTGAGGAAGAGCACATGTAATGAGACACAGACATATTTCACCAGGTGGGGGAGCGTTGCTTTTGAGAGATAATAATAATAACCACCTTTGAACTGCAGAGCTGGAAGGGACCCTGTGGATCATCTAGTCTAGACCCTCTCAAGGAGGCACAGTGGAGGATTGAAGCCCCAGCTTCAAACACCTAAGCCACTGAGCTATCCATGTTCCCTCCCTCCCTTCCTTCGTGTCTCCTCCGGCCTTTCGTTTTTTGGACTCCAATTCACAGAATTCTCCAAGAATTCCGCAGGCAGACAGGCAGAATTAGAGACAAACTTGAGAGACACCTACATTTCGCTCACCTGGCAAATGGCTTATCTTCCAGGCTCCATGGTGTTCAGTTTCAGACCCTAATGTCCAAAAAAAGAAAAAGAAAAAGACGTTGCCACTGTGCTTTCTAGTAGTTGTAGTTCTTTGGGAAGCACCCTCTATAGCGGGCAGCTAGATTACAACTCCCAGGAGCATCTGGGAGCAGTTTATTTTTTTTTGTACGTACATTATCAATAGGAAGGTTTCACAAACCTTGGAGCTAAGCCTTTCTCCTTGTGAGAGAAATGTATCTGTAGATGGGGTTTTGTGGGATGGAACGCCCACAGTTCTGCCTGGAGAGATCTTGGAGAATTCTGGGAATGGGCGTCGAAGAAACCAAAAATCCATGCCTCTAATTGCTTCTGTAAATATTAAATTAGTGGTGTTGTTTCCTAATTTATCCTGCAGAAACTAAATACTGAGGTCTGAAGCCCTTTACTTGAAGGGATACCACCATCTTGACACTTCCCATTTGATTTGCTCTTCACTTGTTTCCCGTTTCTCTTTTTCTCTAGGTTGGATTCTTCAAACGTCAGTATAAACAGATGCTAAGTGAAGCTGGGGATGACAATGAAAACGCAGAGCCTACCAGCCCTACCACACAGAAAACAGACTCCTCTCCCCCTGACAAAGACATTGTTGACTGATGACTGACCATCTTAGACCTCCTAGGTAATATTGTCATTACTTCGAAGGGTGCTTCACTCATGCCTGTTTTAAGAAGATCCTTGTCAGATTAGACCTAAAGCCTATAGTCCTGTTTTCCATAGTGGCCAAAAAGATTCCAATGGGAATCCCAGCAGTGGAACATCAAGGCAATGGCATTCCTCCATTGCTGATGGAATAGTACCTGTTCTTCTTAAATGTTATTGTTGTTGTTCAAAAACAATAGGCACAGTCAAAATTATAAAAACATTGACTGGTATTATATAAGAAATACAAGTTTTAACCAAAACCCTAAGTATCTGTTGAATATTGGCACAGTTTATATGCTGTTCCTAATATTGCCATTTTTTATAGCTCTGATGGTGTAATTTCTGAGAACTGCAACTGCTTATAGTACTGTGTGAAATTTCTTGATATTGTTCCCAGAGCCCAGAGACCACTGAAGTGTGTTTCAATTGCCAGGTCTCTGTACTTTGTTAATTTTTTTCAATTCTTTATTTTCAACTCTGGCATCCCCTGGAATTGCAATGTAAATGATCCAGACATTTCTTCATTCGATTACTGTACTACTTTGTCTGGTGTGTTATATTCAAGGTATCTCTCAGTTTGGATCCAGAAATCCCATAAGATTTTGACTTGGTCATTTTCTGACATCTTCTCTATCTCATGGGTATTTGGGGGCTGGCAAGTTATAGTTTTGCATAATGACCAGTGCACTAATTTTGCCATCCTGTCATGTCTAATTTTGTAATCTGTTTGTACAATCTTTGGACATTTGCAGATGAGGTGTGATACGGTTTTATCTTTTTCTTGGCAGAGTCAGCATTTGCTGTTAGCATTAGTTCCTTGACTCTTGGCTTTCATTACATTTGTTTGGAGTGCTTGCTCTTGTGCAGCAAAAATCAAGCCACCAGTTTCTTTTTTAATGGTCCCCAGTTTAGGCCATGCCCATGTTGAATTATTATGCTTTCCATTAATATTTCTCAGGTGTTGTCCATGCAGTGCCTTATTTTTCCAACTGTTTAATTTATTTTCAAATGGTCATTTCTTATATTGAGCCTTTGTTTCTATTGTTTTCAAAATATTGTCCATTTTCAACGCCTTAGTTAATTTTTGTATTCTATTCTATTCTGTTGTGTTCTATTCTATTCTATTCTATTCTATTCTATTCTATTCTATTCTATGTGCAGTGACCTGGTAATTTTTTTCTTAAAAGAGTCTATTCTGTTGTGTTCTATTCTATTCTATGTGCAGTGTCCTGGTAATGTTTTTCTTAAAAGGTAGTTTATGATTATGATGATCATGATGTGGAGATTGGGATGAATAAGGAGAAACCAAATGAGAAAATGAAATAGAAGGGAACTGGATGCACCGTCTCTGGACCTAATATGCTTTACAGCCTTTAGGCCCTTTTGTGGGGTATGTTAAGGGACAAGATAGGTGAGAATCCTGGGGATCCTTAGTAGAATGCAGTGTTTTGGACTTCACAGCTGTTAGAATCATGCTAGTGCAATATCTGCATTCTTGGAACACACTGTAGAACTGTCAAAAGGCCTTCTCTGGTTCTCCACTCTGTGCCGGAAGAAACTGAGCTAACCACTCTTTTCTTGGTCACCTGCAGGCTTTGACCACTTGCTCAAGGAAGGCCAGAGAGATGTTGGTATCATCCCATGGTGCTACCTCTGACGTATCTGAGTCCTCCCTTCCTCGCTGAATGGACTGCCTTGTCTCCAAGAATTCCTGCTATTGAGCTACCCAGAGCTCTTGCCCCCTCTTCAGCCTTCTGGTCCCCCCTCCATCTTCTCCATTTTCAGAAATGTCCTTCTTGGTAACATTCTCTTCTGATGCGTTCTTCTGAAATTAGAAATGAGGAGGAGGCCGATGTGAATCCTTAGCCGACTGTCTTGTTTCCTGTCCCAGCTACCGTGCGCTGGCTGGGACAGCTGAATGGGTCTCAGGACATGATGGGACGGAAAGTTCGGCCTCCCTGGACATCCTGCCTGAAAATGACAGGTGAGGAGAGAGACTGCTGCAGGAGGAAAAGGAGGAGGAAGAAAATGAAAAGTCAGCTCAACCTCCAAGGGCAGAATAGAGGAAGGGAGGCCTGAGGCTGAGCGTTCGACGCATGGAGTTCTGCAAAAATGGACAGGATTCTAAGCCACATTGATTATGGCATAAGTACTGGTGGACTAGAGTCAATAAAATTAGAAATGGTAGGATTATGTTTTTACATGTTTTCATCTCTGTCAAATCAGCACACATATTTCAGTTATTATCACCCCTAGACGTCTTTCTAGATGGTTTGTCTGTAACATGGCGGAAGAGTTTTGTTCATATGTTTCATAGTTCCTGTTGGTTTCTGGAAGCAACTGTTTTCAATATGTTGAATATATATTTTGTTTGCTTGGAAGTGAGAAGATTAAATGTAATAGGCAAGATGTAATTATGAATGCAAATGAATCACACACCTGTGCTTTCCCTGTGTTATATAGAAGAATAGCATTTGGGACACTTAATGGTTTCAATTTCCTACATAGAATTGTGAATGCAATTTCCTACACAGAATTTATGAAGACATTATAAAAAAAATGAAGAAAAAATAGTATTTTTAAAAGCCACCGATGAATAAACAGCTCACCACTTGTCTTACCCTTTCCTGGTTTGTTTTGCTCCCACCTCTTTTGTCAGCGGGAGAAAGAAGCCAGGAACAAACTTCAGTTATGAGCTTGGATGTCATGGCCATCTATGGTTTCAATAAAGCTAAAGTACATAAGCAGCAACAACCATGGTTAACCACGGCTTATTAGTAAAGGTGATTATCAACAAAGAGTGTGACTTGTTTGAGTTGTGCTTGGACCATGAGACGGTATATAAATTGAATGCCTGATTGAATGAATGAATTTGTCCTGCCATGCCAATACAGGCTGTCTCTCAGTATTAAAAAAAAGTTTAATACAAAGGGCTACTGTTATATTCCTAGTAATATACACATGTTGTCCTATACAGCATGGTTGATAGATTTTATCAGTACTGACGCCTTAGAGCTATCAATGATGAGGTTCCAGGAAACCTCATCTTTGACAGCAGTGGAAGAAATTAGGATTTGTACAGTTAAGAAAAGAGGAGGGGCAGGATCTGATGGTCAGCTCTAAGGAAGGCATAACGAGAAAGTAATTGGGAGAGAGGAACAGAGAGGCACCAAACTGGGGGAAATCATTCTAAATTAACATTGTCAGGGGTGTTGTATTTTGGGGGAATGTAGAGGAATACTGTCAAAAATGTGTTGCTGTTATCCGGTTACTGGTATTTCCTCTAGACCCCCTTTGAGCCTGGACTTTCCAAGTTTCTCTTGAGCCTACCTATAAATAGACTCCAGGAATCCAAGGGTGGGGAGGGGGGGAAGATGACAAGTGTCTGGGCTTCAAGCCAGTTTTAGTGAGACCTTGACTCTGTCCCCATGCGTTGGTTGCTGGGTTTTTTGGACAAGATCCCAAGTGGGTTATGTTTATCTCTTAGGTTCATTGGATAAACAGTGTCAGATGGGCATAACTAGTAAAACTAGAAGGGAGGGAGGAGCGAGTGGGCATTGTTGGAGGGGGCAGTACAGGAAGGCCCTTGACGCAGGGCAGCAAAGACAGAGGTACAACGTTGAAGGGAAAGTTCTCCATCTAGAAACTGCATCTAATAGAATTACTCGGCATCCTTCGCTTCGAACATGTTTCGCCTCCAACACGCCGCTCAGCTGGTGGCCCAAGGGAGAAATCTAGCAACAGCAGCTGCTGGTGGACATCATGGTGGCAGGTCTAATGGTAAGTGAATTTAGCAACGGGCAGGGCCCATCCCCTTCAGTGATAAATGTGGTATAGTAAACCTACGTTGGACCACTGTTCTTACAGAATTTCAAACTTCTTTGTAGTTATTTTTTCTGCTTTTATATTAATGGCTCCAAGGCAACAAAAATGCTCAAAAATGAACATGGGGGAAGTAAATTATGCCCAATGATTTCTTTGAATAGCATTGATTCCTCAACTACATCTCCCCCTCCTGACAAATGTTTATTTCAAAGGCCATCTCCTTCCTTCAGCACTGAATTCTAATCAAACAGGTAATGCATGGTTTCAATGATTCGAGACATGTATCCATGTCATTTTGCAACTCCACACTTAGTGTACATAGCAGCTTCCAAAGGTGTTCACAGAATGCCTTTTTTCTCTGCGGCTCTCGTGCAGCATTTTCAGGAAGTTGAAAGGGGGAAGTTCACTTCAGCCAGCCCAGTGGCACCCATTTGTGTCTGGTTCAAACCCAATATTTTTATGTCTAAGGCAGTTCCTTGCATTCTCACTCTGCAAGAATGACCTTGTTTAGCTGCTAGAGGACACTGGCCTTATAACACAGCTGTCTGGTTCAGGATACACTAGGAGGTGGTGTATTGCCCAAAGGAACTGGGTGGCAAATTAATTTAATTTATCCAACATAAGCAAAATGTCTTCTAGTGTCATCAGCTGTTGATTATGCTATGGACAGGTCAATCTATCATGTTGACTCGCTGAGGAACCAGTTTTTCTACTGCATCTGCATCAGATTGCCCCCACTTTATTTTTTTTCACAAAATTTTACCCCTACATTATTTTAAAAATACACATTTCTCCATGCACACTTTTCTTTTTTAAAAAAACACACAAGCTTCCCCCCTCCAAGCCTTGTTCAGACTTACGACCACACATTTTATTCAGATTTTGCACGTGAAAGTACGAACTGGGTAATCTTGAATTAAAACGTGAATGCAATGAATTTCTCATTTCTCCCCAGTTTATGTTCTGTACCCTTGATAATCTCCCTTTCCTCTCTGCAACACAGCAAGGACATGGAAGATCCTGTGCTTTGTGGTGGCCTTTCCTGGGTTGGCTGTCTGTTGGCTGAACGCTTGGCTAAAGGGCCGTGAGCCGGGTAGGCATAAACGACCTGACTTCGCCCCCTATAGTCACCTGCGCATTAGAACAAAGGTGAGCCAATAACAGGGAAAATGGTTGGAATGATTTATGGGCATGGTCTAGTTGCCAACAGCTTTGAACGTGGAGCTGTGAAAGCCATCTTGCTCTGTTGACAGCAATGGTAGATAGAAAACAAAACAAAAATTAAAATACAAGCAAACGTACAAAGTGGACGGATCTGTAGCATGATCAGCCTCTCAACTTTGTGTTCTTTTGCTCTCTCTTTTCTTTAGCCCTACCCTTGGGGGGATGGAAACCATACCCTCTTGCACAATCCTCGCACCAATCCACTGCCCACTGGCTATGAAGTCGAAGACACCCACCACTGAACTACTGTTGTTCTTTTCGCTTCTTTGACATGGGCATGGAGAGAGCCACGGGTCCGGATGCAAGTTTATCCCTACTTTCAGACCATTTCTCCTGTCCAGAGACAACAAAAATAAATTTCATGGGAAAGAGCATCTTCTTCTGTTTCCAGTTTTGTAGTCTCATGCTCCTCTCAAATTTTCAGTGAGATAAGAGAAATTCAGAGACCGTTGAGGACCAGTGGATGAGCATATATGATAAAGACCACGCTCTTTCTGGTAGTCCTTCACAGATAATTAATTACTGTGCAAACATAAGCCTTCTGTTCCAAATTCCCCCTGCTTCTGTTAGTATTGGCACATTCCCCATGTTTACAGTTGTTAAGGTCCCAGTGTTTTCTTTTTTCATCAGGGCCGGGCTCTGCCATGAGCTGCACTCTGGTGATCTCTCCAGGCGGCAGAGTACTGCGGCAGCAAATACATGTCTCCTTCCTGCCATCACCACGACTCAGGGACATGCTGCTTCTAAGATCTGCCCTATTTTGTCACCAAGGAGGAGGCATCAAACCATTCTCTATTGGAGGCAGTGACATCCCTACACATTTCCATGTAATTGGAGAGAGGAAGGTCCCAGTGTTTTCTTTTTTCATCAGGGCTGGGCTCTGCCATGAGCTGCACTGTGGTGATCTCTCCAGGTGGCAGAGTACTGCCGCAGCAAATACATGTCTCCTTCCTGTCATCACCACGACTCAGGGACATGCTGCTTCTAAGATCTGCCCTATTTTGTCACCAAAGTGCAGGCATCAATCCATTCTCTATTGGAGGCAGTGACATCTTTACAGATTCCCATGTCATTGGAGAGAGGAGAGGCAGGCTGTGGGACATCAAGTGGTTTTCATTAGAAGTGGCTTCTTTTCCCTTCCTCTGGCTTCCACAAATCAAGATGAGCCACAGTTTGAGGCAAGTCCTCTGGACATCATCGCATTCTGTCTTGACTCCCAAAGCCAACTATAACAGCAGCCAGCCAACGTGCCGCTTCTTCCCTCTCTGGTGGCAGGGAGGTTTAGAGGCACTGCTGCCTGCAGCGGGGGGAGTTTTCCCATCCATTAATGTTGCTTTCTGCCAAAAATGGCAGGAGAGTTTCGGTCACTGTTAGCTTTAAAGAGTGCAAACTTTGCTCCAGCTTGAGCTACCCAGTTGGGGGTGTACATTTTCATGGACTTACCAAATTAGGCACAAGATACAGCCAGTGTGGAATAAACATCAATCAGTCATATTCAGGCACCAACTGTGCATAGGAGGTTGAGCTTCAGAAAGGACAAGCGGTATACAGAACCACCAAAATTTCACCGAAATGTTTTTGCCTGAGGTTTTAAATCCTGTAGCCAGGACTCGTTTATGGAGCACAGAGATTTGAGACCTGGCTGAGAGGGAAGGAGTACCGTATTTTCCCGTGTATATGATCCCCTCCCAATTTATTAGATGACCCCCAATGTTGACCTTTGCTGGAGGCGGAGCCACCTCCAGCTCATGTTGCCGCCTTGTACCCTGCCTGAAGGGAGCCTGCAAGTGGCGCTGGAGGAGGTGATTTGGAGGCGGTGGCAGCGGCTGCTCCTTTGCCCCTGCTTCCATCTCTGCCTCTTTCCGTGTATAAAACGACCCTAAATTTTTTTCTCTAATGATTTTAGGGAAAAGAGTTGTTTTATACATGAAAAAATATGGTAATTGCCAATCTTTACAAATCATTCAGGTCTCACACCTCTGGCCACTGAAGCTTGACGCAGGGGTTAGTTAGAGAGACCAAAATCTCCTTTCCTTTTCCTGCCTGGTTGCAAAGGAGCCTGGTCTTTACCAACATTTGTGTCCAGATCTCCCCTTAGAAAGCCACTTCTCTGAAAACGGCTTCTCTCTAGGAAATCTTAGAAATGTTTTCAAAATATTTTAGAAACCCACTTCCTTGCTGCAGCATCTCACTTAGAACTATTTTCTTAGTTTGTATCCCTAACCGAGTTTCCAACTGGGAGTCTCTGACCCTGGTCAGAAACTTCAACAGAAAGTACCATAGCATGAAACTCCAGTTCCGGAACAAAGCAAGACTAACCTGTGTTGAAGGAAGGAAGAAAAGGCATGGCAAGCATCATATATGAAAGTACAGAACTTAGTGAGACAAGCCTTATGTCGTGTGGATAGCAGGAAAATACAGGATGAGTGCAGAATGAAGTAACTTCGCAAAAAATAAATGCTCCCACAGTTTCTCCTGTAGTAACAGAGATGTCAGCAGTAAGCAATCTTGAACCCTTGAGACATTTTGGACTATAATTCCCATAATCCATAATCCCCAGCCATTATGCATGCTGAACAGAGCTAATGGGAATTTCACTCCAATCAATCCAAAACATCTGGAGAGCACCATGTTACCTACTCTTGTCCTGTGTTGTTCTTTGTTTTGCTATACCAATAAGGCTGCGCGATTTTAAAATAAAATCTGAAAGTTTGTACAAGAATTAAATACCTCAGTAGTGTAGCTGACACATGTATAGAATAAAAACATGCACTTATCTATTCCTGAAGCGGCATAGAAACAAACACATGTTTTCATGGTAACTGTTTTTCAACGTATGATTGACTGTTGCACTCCCATAGATAGAGGAATGAGACCCAAAAGCATGGTTACACTAGGAAAAAAGCCTGTATTTTAACTGGGTTTAGCTAGTTTTAAATGAATTTTTAAAAGGTGAGTACACAACTCAGCTTGGATTTTTTCCCCTGGGAAGCATGTTTTTTGGTTGGAAGGTAATATATTCTATTGGAAGAGAAGAGGGTCATTATTTTAATTCACTTGCATTAACTCACCTCTGTTAATGCAAATTTTGGTCCATGGTGGGCATCCCACCCCCCGGAAAGATAGCACTTCTTTGTAAGAGATGATCTAGTTCTGTGATCATATAACATAATCATATAAATTATGTTTATATGATAAATATAAATAATCATAAACAGATCATAAACACACAACGTAAGTGCGTGTTTCAGTGTGTGCATACCTACTGGGAACTTCCCTTTTCCTGTAACTTCTCAGCATGTGTGCAGTTCTCATGAATATTAATTTATATGTTTTAATGTCATTTCCTACCATCAATTTTTTTTTCGGTGTAAGAAAAATGTAACATAGGAAGCAGACCTTAGCTACTCCCTGGAGTAGTCCTTTCTTCTTGTTCGGTGCCAAATTTAATTTGAGTGTGGTGGAAGTACCAGAAGGGATCCTAAAGAAAGCATGGATTGTGGGCTTGGTTATCCTTTGGTAGCATCAGGACTGGGGCTGACGTCTTGTGAAGGTCCAGCCGCTTCGCCGCTTCCATCTGTTGCCTCATCCATCATCTGTTTGTACTGTCGCTTGAAGAACCCAAGCTGGAAACAAAGAGAAAGTAGGTTCAGATGAAGGTTGCTACTGCTAAGCCTTGCTTTAGAGGGGTGGGTTTCCCCCTCTCTCTCTTGATAAGTCCTGACTTATTTGAGTTTGGGGGAAAATATATATAACTCTGTGTGTATTTACATGAGCAGGCGGTACCTTGAGGTTCACCTGCTAGGATTGCTTTCAGTTCTTACCTTGTAGAGAGCAGCAACAATCAGAGCAAGGAGGATTAGACCCCCCACGCTGCTTCCTATAATGATGGGCAGATAGTTGTGGATGACCAAGTGTTCCACTACAGTCTTCACCTACAGGGTAGGAGAGAACAAATCTTGACAGACAATTCAGGAGTCTTTACTTCATTCACTAACTCTAATTCAGAAGAACCTACTCGTTATTCAAAGCTATAAACAGCTAGGAACCGTGGTTGTCTCCCAGTTATGGCCGACTACATTCCTTTTCCAAGAAACCGATTTCCCAGCTACACCCAAAATACTGTACACATTTTTGTGTGTTCTCATTACCTGGCTCTGTACAAAGCCTTCCTTTTGGAAATATTTCTTATCATCATAGGATATCTGAGCTGAGCTCACCAGGGTCAATGTATTTTTCTGGGTCTGGAAGACAGACATAAATTCTCTTGGTGTTTTATGCAGCCGGTTGCCTGAAATATTACATCAAATAAAAATCTATAGAATCAAAAACCAGGGGACACCAAGGATTATTGAGTTCAACCTGATGCAGGAAATCAAAGCCCATAAGGAAGTTCTTGTTCTTGTGCAAAAATTCCTGGTGGGTATAGACATGCAGCTGACCAGAGACATGTCCTCATTAGCAGCATATCAATTCTATTCCACTACAACCATGATAGTGTCCCTTAGAGAATTTTGAGAACCATCATTTGGTGAAGGTGCTAAAAATTCTGCTACACCTTCTTCACAGAATGAGGTTAAGCTCATACTGAATACATGCTTCAGGTGTTTATTTTTATTTATTTATTTATTCGATTTTTACCCCACCCTTCTAGACAACATCTACTGGGACCGGACAAAATGGTGCCAACAGCTTGCAAAGGAGAGCTTCCTATCCCTTCCACCTAACAACCCAATAAATCCCTGGGGCAGACTTCATACCTGGGAGACCCAACTGAAACTAACGTTCCCCTTGATAGTGAACTTCAGAGCTCGCTCCATGTCCAAGAATGCGATATCACAACGTATGGTTTTACAGGTAGCTACAGAACAGTCCTGGAAAGAAGTGGATGGATATCTCAGGGTTAGGTCTGAATGCGAGTGTTGAGCCTGAGTATGAATACCCCTGATCTAGAATGCCACCCTATAAATCCATGATCTATCTAGAGCAATGAGTCCCAACCTTTTAAAGATGTGACCCCCTTTCATAACAGCCAAGTAATCTGTGACACTCCCCACTGCCACGCTTGTATAAAAAGTAATGGGGTAAAGTCATCCCTTCTCAGAAAGTACAGGTTTCCTGTCCCCCCAAAGGGCCAGTTTCTCATACATATATATACACGCTAACTTTTATATCCCACTCCAAGGAGAAATTATTTAACAAGGACTTCCACACACATAAGGTGACCCACAACTCTACCAAAACCCTTGGTAACCCCCTTGGAGGTCTTGATCCCTAGGCTGAGAAACACTGATCTAGAGCCATCAAGTAAGGTAAAGGTTCCCCTTGACATTTAGTCCAGTTGTGTCCGACTCTAGGGGGCGGTGCTCATCTCCGTTTCCAACCCATAGAGCTAGTGTTTGTCAGAAGACAATTTTCTGTGGTCACATGGCCAGCGCGACTAGACACGGAACGCCTTTACCTTCCCACCATGGTGGTACCTATTTATCTACTCGCATTTTTACATGCTGCAGAACGGCTAGGCTGGCGGGAGCAGGGACAAGCGGCGGGAGCTCACTCCGTCGCATGGATTCGATCTTGCGACGGCTGGTCTTCTGACCTTGCAGCACAGAGGCTTCTGCGGTTTAACCCGCAGCGCCACCACGTCCATGAGCCATCAAGTAACTGCTTTTAAAATAAGGCTGCTGACATTACAGTAGGGTGTACTCACCAGAATGGGATGCTCTCTTAAATGTTTCACAAAATCCTTGGATCCCATGGTTATGTTTTCAGGAACACATTGAACCAAGGAAGACACCTAGAGGAAGAGAGGGAAATCTTGCATTTGGAAGGAATTTAGGGAGACTTTGTTCCTCATGCAAGGAGGAGGCTGTTTCTAGACTTGGAGGAACCTCTCTCTTGGCATGGAAACCTTCACGCCAGTGTTCCTGACCCTAAGAAGAAGACAGGGGATAGCTGTCTCCATCATCCCCTATTGGTGATATGCCAGGAGCATTTCCCTGGCCATTACTGGATATGATCTAGTTGGTCTTTTCTCTGATCCAATGATACATTATTATGTTATTACCAGTTTTATGGTTCTCTGCTTATCGTAATTAAATAGGGATGAGAATCTATACTTCATTAATGAACGTGGAGATGATATGTCTCTGTTTATAAGCCCACCAATCTAATCATGGTGCAGTTATATTGTGTTAACTAACAAACCTTTTAAAGTGATCTGCCTGAGGCTGGCGTCTTGAGCTGAATTCCTTGTTTGGCTAACCAAAAATGGGTAAAATGAAGCCTGTGAGCTCTATGTAGCCTCAGTGTGGATGTTCAGACAGAGTCCTGGCACACTCAGGGGTAAAAAAAAAAAACTGCTCCAGAAGCATAAATCAATGAAAGGACTTTTTAAGAAACTAGAACTAACAGATCATTTTCTTTTAAAAATAAATAAATAAATAAATAAAGGCCTAAAACAGACCTAGGAAGAATTATATTTAAAATTCAAATCACAATTTACAAGTTTGAAGCAAAAACTTCCTTTGGGAATTTCAGGGGTATAGCATTAGGCACAGGGCAGTAAGAAAGTGGTACCTTGATACTGAACTATACATTAACCCATTGTGGAACAGTAAGATGTATTGCTCACTGCTAAAAGTCACAGGTAGCGCTATCCTCCATGCATTTATCTAGTCACCATTTAAAACTATTTCAGCCCACTAATGAAATGTGGAAATGGAGGGTAACCTCAAATGAATCTGAGCTGGCAGGACTGGAATTGGACAGGAGCATCCTCCATACACAGTGTTTTATCCACTGACCCAGGGCAAATAAGCATCTTTATAGCCTCAGAGAGGTATACCTCAGGGAGGAAATTCACGGATGCATTCCAAACCCACGAGCTATTCAGCTGCACAGGAAACCGAAATCTCACAGAGACAGGTATTTTTCGCCGATATGTGTTCTTCAGCTAAAGAAGAGACAAATTCTGCATTAATACAAGCAAGAACTCAATGCTTATAGGTCTTATTCTAGGCACTAAACCAGATGAGCATTTTCTCGTGCAATTTGGCTCAAAGGCTTGAATGTCCCATACAGTCTTGCTCGTTCCATCTTCTTAATCCCATCATGTTCCATATCCCCCTCACCTCATAGTAGTGTTCTACGATCCGACTTTCGCCTTCCTGGCCAGCAGAAAAATTGATGCTCTTGGTTGACTGATCAACACTGGAAGAAACAAGATGGAGGGAAGCTGAGAAACACCACTATGTAACCAACCAGACACCCTGGGTTTAAATGCATTTTAAGTAGCATTTGAAAATTCAGTGCACGGTAATGAAAAAGGCTGCAATCCTATATAAATTTACTTGTAAATCATACTGACCTCCCTGGGACTTTTAAATAGACATACAAAAACAAAATGTAAGTGACTGATAAAAGCCGCAAGCCTATGCACACCTGAATGGAAATAAGCTTTCTTAAATTCCATAGGGCCCCATAGCCTTCTTGTTGATGTTTTAAGGCTGCACTGAAAGGCGGTAGCTCACAAGCAAATTTATGGCCACTTACTTACAGGTTAAATAAACTGCAGGCAGCAAATTACAAGAGAAAGATTCATGAAACTAGAATATATCCCAAATGATTCAATAAACAGAAAGAAACCGGAAAAATTATAATGAAAATTCATAGAATGTATTTGCTGAGGGAGGAGTGCAGCAAACACTGCTTTAAGAAACTATATTTAAATTGGGAAACAATGGAGTGCACTTGATGGAGATTAATGGGGCCAGACCATGATATTTTTCAGCATGAGGCAATGGATGTCATCTCTAACCTGTCAAACCAACTGGACTTCCAGTAGAATTTTACCTCAGCACTGGGGTAAAGCATCACCCACATTTATTTACTGTATTTAGTTTTTGATCAGACTAGATGCTACAGAGAGAAGAGAACAGCAAGTAATTAGAAAGTGATATTGCTTAAAAGGCTTGCATGAATGTGCTGTTTCATCTCTCAGTCTCTCTTTTAGCTTAACACAAAGGAAAACAGGGAAACAGGCTTATTTGCTTGTCTGGTGGCTCAAACATGAAGCTGGGTGGAATCAGCCTAGAACGTTGTGCATCTGTAGCATCTGTTTTCATCCTGGAGCAGGGTGCAGGTTGTATGATGCGCATAGCTTGGCCTGCTTCCTATCCCTCTGCTTTTGCTGCCTGAGAGGTCTGTCCCACTGTGGCTATGACATCTGGATTTCAGATTTAATAAGAGCTAGATAAACTCTGACAACTGGCTCCACCTTCCCCTTGGCTGTATAAACCAAGATGGAAAGAAAAGAAAATACCCAGCTTCCTAAGCAGGCAGGAAAGGTAGGAGCCCTGCTGTTGTGAAGAAGACAGATTTCTAGCTATGGGGCATTTCTGTACATGAAAACATACCAGTCTGCACTGGTGGAACACAAAACAGATGCATGAAGCTTTTGACAGGTACAGTCTTGATCCCTACGTATATAGACATCTTTATTTGTTATTGACATCTTGCTAACAAATCTTTAACCTTCTTCATCTTCTCCATTCTCTTATACTTTACATGCTTAGCAGATAAATCAGAAGGGCAAGTGAGCTGAAAGACAGTTAATAATTCTGGAAGACGAAGAAATTCCTGTCACCTATTTTTTCAAGCCATGGAGCAAAGCAGATTTCTCTTTCCTCCACGACATGCATGATTCGACCATGAAATACAGACAAAAAGAAAATCAGCAAAGTAATATAGAAGTGGGACTCATTCTTTTTAGAGAGAGCTGACCTAGAGAAACGTATTGTTAAGAACAATCTAAAGAGAGCAGCTTTTGCTATGTAAACAACTGATCTCAGAAAAATAATCTACATTCTAAAATAAAAATTCCAAAAAGGGAACTTTCCCAAGCTCTGGCAAACAAACCCTCTGATAAAAGAGAGCTCGTTTTGACTCCAGAATGGTTACAGTCACTTACGCATTGACGAAGACAGACACAGCATATTTGACGGGCAACTTTTCTTGGTGAATCATGTCCTGAGTGGTGGGGCCATTGTTTTCACTGAAAAGAAAAGAAAAGAGGGAGATGCATAGAGGGATATGTATGGACATATGTTGCACTTCCATATTTTGCATTGCTAAGAACCCCATTTCCCACACCACTGCTGTATAACAAACTACATGAGGCCATTGGACATGGAAACGGAGAACTTTACCACAGAAAAATGGTGCAACTCTGAGACATCAAGAGACGTTCAGAGCCTGGCTTCATGGCTCAATTAGAGTGGGCTGGATGGAGTTGAATAGGGTCACTGAATATCAGGTAGAGAGGTCTGGTATGGCATTTGGTGCGGTCTTGCATCCACATGGCACATGCACCTCAGGTGAGTCTATTTGGCCTATTTTCTTGAGAAAACAACAAAAACAAAATTCCCCTCTTTGCCCTTCCTCTCTCCACCTCCTTTTGGAAGGAAACTTTCCCGCCTTGGGTCCTTTTGGGGAGAAAAGTGGCATAGACATATTTTAATTTTTTTTTAATGTTATTTTCTTTTTTTCCTAAAAGATATAGCACATCAGTGTTGTCCTAATAGGCTTTAAAATCCCAGTTTGTTTACCCCCCTCTGTTCCTCCACAGAGGGGCAGAGGAAATTTTTAACTTCCCAATATTGTGAAGTGGCTAAGCTGTGTTCTTAAGCTACTTAAAGATATTGGGAAATTGAAAGCAGAAGGAGACTTTAAAGCAGCTAGCTCCAGTTTGGTTAGATCCCAGCAATCATGGAGGCTGGAAGTGAACCAGAATGGAGCAATTCTACTTGTACCTGACAAACAGTTGCTCCTGACAAAGACCCAGAAAGATGCAGATAGGAGCACTTTGAATACAGTCTAGTTCACACTGGCAATTATATCATGTAGCTGATGGCAAAAGGAGTGAACTAGCCCATCTCCACAAATCAAACAGATTGAACAATTGGACAAATGTCCATGTAGTAACCCCCTCACTCTGTACATTTAAGGCTTCAGATCTGCATCTGTGGATCTGAGAGTCAGTCTCCGGGGATTACTTCTAAATAGAATTTGTACTGGACTTTACTGCAAATCAGCGTGAATGTGGCCTAGGTTTCATGATTGCTAATCAGAAATTGTTGCTACGTTTGTTGGTTAGGAACATCAAATATTGCTAGACTTACCTGCCAGCTGTGGCATTGATCTGCACCACACTTCCCAGATTTGCATCCTGAGAGATGGAAAAGGTGGCAATGAAGATGACCTATGGCAAAAGAAGATATAATGCATGTTGATGGATGGCAGAAGAATGTTGAGGAAGATTTGCTCAAGGTTTAAATATCCAGGGATAACTGTCAACTAAACTGCTTCTTTCAGGAAACTATATAACTTTTGGATGCAGCTGAGGCCTCTTCAGATCTGTAACCTCTACAAAGGACCATAATTACCAGAAAATGTGGGCAGAAGCTTTGGCAAAGCTTATTTAAATCTGCAGACATTTATGTTGGCATCACAGTGCCTCCCTGAGAACTCTGGTAAAAGTCTTAGCTCTTGTTTGCTGTAGCTAAAGACCTGTTTATAAAAACATTAATTCTGGGACATTTTTCCCACTCAGATACTGAGATGCTCACAGAATGAACCAGTCAGTGTTTCAATGAATGAAGGGTACCCCTTGATAGCGATTAGAAGGCTTGGTGTAGCTATTCTTTTTTTCATAACATATCTTTTATGGTTGGGAAAAATAAAAAAGAAGCTATGAAATGCAGTAAATAACTATAAATGCAGTTTATCTTCGCGTGAACCCTCTTCAGTAGATGAGGCAGGACGACAAGATGAAAGCCTTGTCTGAAATCACTCAAGACTGATATTAGCTGAACAGAAAATGTTATGTCAAAGATGGCTGATCTGAGAGGAGAGCACCACTCCTCCCACTGCCACAGAAGGCATTCTCCTGAACTAAAACAACAGTCCACCTCTCTGCTAGTGGTAGGACTTTACCTCAGCTCCACTTCGGAAGATGGGTTGGTTGATGCCACAGGTGGTGTTCCTCACAGGATCCTCCTCTGCCGTGGGGATGGAGGCACACTTAATCATGACATATTTCCTGTTGGACTGAGCAGCAAGGGATCAGGCTGTGAAATCAATCAACTGGACAGGCAATGCCCTCTGAGAGGAGTACTTATCCCTTGGTACTTGACAACTCTAGTTTCTCTGCACCTCTATTACCTGCAGCAGCATGAACCGGCGGTAGGAAAGTGCAGATGGGTATAAAAATGTCACGGTGGTACTATAAGAATCCTCTCCAGAATTTCGGATGAAGACTGTAGCATTCAGCTCAGACGTCAGGCCCACCACTAGTGTGTCAAGGCTGCAGAACAGAGGAAGAGAACCAGTTGCATATATTGTGCGTGTGTGTGAGGGGGGAGGTATTCCATGTGGATTCAATTTTCTTTATTATAGCTGTGAACATATTCCAGGGTTGAGCCTGCTGCCAGTGTTCTAAATCTTGATTTAAAATGGTAATTTAGGCAATGAGAAGAGCTGATTGCAAGAGAACATCTAGAGCCAGTTGTTCATTTCCAACTGAGGTATTTTAATAGTGCTTCTCACATTTCATCTTGCAATTTTCTAAATACTGGAAGACTGGAAATTCACCAGGCTCTTGCCAATCTGAGATTCAGCGGGCCTGGAAAATTTCCACAGGGGGTAGGGTTTAAAGAAGAAGATCATACTTTACCTAGAGAAATTGAAAGAGATTTTTAATTTATCTTTGCAGATTCCATCTCTACCACAATTCTTTTCAAAAGACTTCCCAAAAGAGATATGGAGAAGAGAAGAGAAGAGAAAGAATGTCAGCATTTGATGGCTAGTGAATGTAATAAAATTATATGCAAATAAAAGATCCTACTGAGTATAGGTTTTGATAACACAGTTCTTCACACAAATTGCACACTGGCTTCTTTCCTATTTTACCATCACATAGCTCATTACAGGGGGTTAAACTGAGAGAGGTTAACCAAACATCATCAAGGATGTTTCAAGGCTGTAGGAATTTTGAGCACTCACCACTCCATAGAGTTGTCTTACTGTATTTAGTGCATTCAGTCCACTTAAGACAGTGGTTCCCAGATGTTCTTGGACTACAGCTCCCAGAAATCCTGGCCAGCACAGGTGAAGGCTTCTGGGAATTTTAGTCTAAGAACATTTGGGGACCCAAGGTTGGGAACCACTGACTTAAGACATCATGCTTGACTATAAGAATGGGATACTATTAGCCTTTCCATGTGAAAGCTTTTTGCATTGGGCTTCAGTGAGTCAATTTCCCCCCCCTCTAAGATATGCAGCCACACAACCACACAAATTGGGCTTCAGTGAGTCAATTTCCCCCCCTCTAAGATATGCAGCCACACAGCCACACAACCACATAACTGTGCACCCACAGTTAATGTTTCAGCTCATTTGGTTCCGATTGTGGCTCGAGCTTTGCAGACGTAGGGTGGGGTTTCCACTCAGTACTAAAAAATTAGAAGGAACAGCGGTGAGTGTCCAGAACTGAAGAAAGTTAAGACATAATTTGTCAGAGATCATTTCTCTATAAATTATTTCTCCATAACATGTGGCCACATATGGCTTCCAGGAGCCACACGTGGCCCTTTAGATTCCCTGGCATTTCCCAGCACCCTTACACTCCCTGCCAAAATTATTCTTTTAAAAAAATAGTGCAGAAATTCTCCTTGTTCCTTTAAGGGTGTAGGAGGCAGCTGTACCATAATTTCAGGGCTCTCTAATTCATTTTTTTAAAAAAATATCTGTTTTGACTACTAAAGGGGCCTGGTGGCTTTTCCAATTTAAATAATCAAATCTATTTTTGTAAGAAAAATAATTTGGTGTGGGGGGGAATAATAGGATGGGATGTGGCCCTTGAAGGCCAATGCCAGGTAAGTTCAGCCTCCAGACCTCTGAAGGTCACCCACCCCTGCCATAAATTAAGTCCTGAGTCTATATTAGTTCCACACACTAACATGCCACCTGACAACGTTCCCTGGAAGCACATTGAACGTAGACATACTGATGCCATAAACTGATGGGGCTCATCTTCGCCTAGGATGGCTCGCAGGCTCTCAGTGCCACGAATGGGCTCTCCAGTCAGAGTATAATTCAAGCGAAGGTTTATGGGATTGAGGCTGTCTTCTATGCAGGTCTTTCCTCATGGGGAGGGAGGAAATCAAAATGAGAAAGGAATGACATGATTTCATGACAAAAATATATCTCTCTGTCACATGGACAAATCCCACCTAGTGCTCTGAACTTACCGGCAATATTATGCGATAGTCCTTACATTCTGTTACCAAGCCCACTCGTATCTCTTCAGTGACAGAGGAAGAGGCTGAACCTCCAGCAAAAATGGCCCGAACATTCATTCGACCATGATCCAGGGCCAAAGTGTACCGAATAGTATTCAAAATGTTGTTGCCTGAGAGACAGAACGAGAGAGTCAAAGACGAATCGACTACCCAGTCTTTGAGGATTCTACTTTCCATCAACCAGAGAGCAGGTTTCTGAGAGAGGAAGGTTGTGATGCCATGTGATGTGCACCAGAGTCCTTATTTGTTTGATTGTTCGTTCATTCGTTCATCCTTTCACTACCCATCAAGTGCCGGGGCACTACTTTGGGCCACTAAGAAGTCAGTCAGTCATTCATTCAGTCATTCATATCCTACCCCATCAAGGGCCAGGGCACTACTTTGGGCAGCTAACGACAATACCGCAACCCAATACCAAATAGAAAACCAAAAAACATTAAAAACCCATGGTATTCCCCCCTCCCCAAAGACAGGAATTTGGATAGCAAATTGAAATCAAGATCAACTATGACATTGTGGGGAAGTTTGGATATTTATTGTCTTAGCATTAAAGAACTGCAGGATGAGATGCTTGCAGCATTAGCAGGATGCTGCATGTGGGAAAACCCATGTGTTTCTTGGGCTTTTTGGAGGGTCTGTCTCCACTGGATCCAACTAGGAGCCTATCTCAGCATGTGTCTATGGTTTTCAAACATCTTTCCCACCAAAGAAATTGCTCCATATCAATTTATTCTTTGAAGAGCATTGCAAGAAACATGATGAGTTGGTCCAGGGTGAAACAGGACACACAACAATGGGCTCAAGTTAAAGGAAGCAGATTTCGGTTGAATATCAGGAAAAAACTTCTTAACTGTTGGAGCAGTACAACAGTGGAACCAGTTACCTCGGGAGTTGGTGAGTGCTCCAAGACTGGAGGCATTCAAGAGAAACTTGGATAACCATCTGGCAGATCTGCTTTGATTGTATTCCTGTGTTAAGCAGGGGGTTGGACTTGGTGGCCTTGTAGGCCCCTTCCAACTTCACTTTTCTAAGATTCTAAACACTTGATATGTGGGGAAGGTTGCCAAGGCCTTTGGCGTTCCACTGTTGCCTCACAAAAACAAAAAGCCTGGTCTCAGCTTGTGCCCAATCTTCTCTCCTCCTTTCTCTCCAGCTGATCTTCTTGCTTGGGGGATCAGTGCTGGTAAGCAGGACACCTTGGTGGGATGGTCCTCAGCGACGTGCCAGCACCCAAAGCCAAGATGCAAGAATTGCCAAGATTTATGGGCCTACCTAATTTAAACCTAGGGTCCGACCGGATGGTGAGACAAACAGTTGCCTTGCTGACCTCCTTGTTCAGCACCTCCTGGTCCCGGCACTCAAAGGCAGAGAGGGGGATGATGGATGGATTGAAGGTGCTCCTGAAGGTGACACTGAGCACAGGCCGAGTCCTGTGGCAGACAGAGAGGAGTGATCATTGAGGGGGTGAAGGAAACACAGAACCATTGGGTATCTTGAGTTCTGGTCTATTGATGTATTACTGTACTTTGTTCCTATATTTTAAATTGTTTATTTTATATGTTGTTAGCCGCCCAGAGTAGTCAGTTGACTAAATGGGCAGGGTACAAATTTAATAAATAAATAAATAGATAGACAGACAGACAGACAGAGATAGATAGATAAATAAATAAATAAATATCACCTCCGAGAGCATGTGCCCATTCAACAGAACAAAGACATGCCATCTGGACCATGAAACGGTTGGTTATATTTTGCAAAGTGGCTAAAGAAAGGCATTTCTGAAAACTGTGCAATTTTAGCCTTCGGACTGTTTTGTGGAATACTCTCTCTCTCCCCCCCTCCCTCTCCCCCCTTACATTTCTGTATCAGGGATATTGTGTGTTCCTTGCACTCCAATTACAGGCAAAAGCAATTTCCTTTCTGGCCGTATAATGTTGTGTATGGCCAATGTTGTGTATGGGTCACAGGTACATCACAAAAGTGGCCTGCCACTGGGATTCTATTTGGATTTTTTGAAAGGGGATTTTATTTCCCTCAGACACCGACATGATTTGTGCTAGTCATGGATGTCCTTGCTCTTCCTGGTTGAGACTGCTTCGCTTATCAATGGCGATGCAATGTCAGGAATTGTTTTATAAGTATTACAGTATTTTACTCCACAATTCCATTTTAAGATGTACCTGAGAAAAAGAGAAAGGGGGTGACCTTTTGTAGCAGTTCTCAAGAGAGGAGGTGTGCCTACTGGCAGAATTTTTTCCAAATGCCCAGTGCCAAGCCTTATGTTCCTTACCTCAGCAAGAACACTTGCCCCTCAGACCCCACTGTTACATCTGGGAGTCCGTCTCCAGTAAGGTCTGACCCAGCACCAATAGTTTGGCCAAAATAGTGAAGTCTCTTACTAGGCAGAGAGACTTGGATGCGCTGCGGACAAGAGAAAGGGATTAAGAAGAGGAGGCTGTGTTAACACGAAACCAAGGCTCTGGAGAGATGGCAACTGCTTTCTTGGCTGTGTTGTGCCAGAGACAGGAAAGCTGTAGGCTTACCTGGCTGTATGCTCCATTGAGGGACCTCCTGTTTCCCCGGAATATGTACACAGCTCCTTGATCCTCATCTTCCATTGGAGCCCCAATGGCCACATCTACCCATTGGTCCCCTGTAATGTCCCCTATTTCTGCTATGCAGGCCCCGAAACGGCCGAAGGGATGTTTGGCCTCCCCCTGCAACTCCTTTCTGCAGAGAAACGTCTCTCCCTGGCAAGCGAAGGAGAGAGAAACTTGAATTGGTCCTGGAAAAAGCATTCGAGAGGAGGAGCTTTCCCTTCAATCCCAAAATACAAGGTGGATGGATCCCATAAAGAAAACCACAGCACTGAGTTTGCAAGAACTGAGCAGGGCTTACAACATTTTGAAGGTTGCCCATTCATAGGGTCACCACAACTCAGAGATGCTTGATGGGACACAACAAAAACAACGACTTGACCTTGAGTGCATCATTAATATTTCAAAGTTTTAATGATGACATATACTGTAAAGCCCTAAACGGTTTAGGACCTCGATATCTAGCGGAACACCTCCTCCCACCTAGATCCACCCGAATCACTTGTTCTAGCCAGGAAGGGTGGCTGAGGGGCCTAATGCCAAGGGAGGCCTGGAGGGAACGAAAAAGAAACCAGGCCTTCTCGGCAGTGGCCACTCACCTTTGGAACAGTCTCCCCTCAGAGATCTGTCTGGCTCTCTCACTGGGTGTTTTCAAGAGCAAACAAGACCTGGCTCTTTAGGGAGGCTTTACATCCTGTCATCACTTGAATATTTTCCCATCCTGAACTATATTACTACTGTTGTTTTTTATTTTACTATATTGTTTTTATTCTAACTATTATTGTTAGCTGCCCAGAGTAGACTTCGGTTTGGATGGGCGGGGTATAAATTTAATCAATCAACCAATCAATATTTTTTTTTCTTCTCTTTCACTCCAGGGGCCACAAGAGGACAGATACAGAGAAAACAATCTTCATCAGGGTTGACCTGCTATGCTTAAAAGAAAGGGCACTTCCTGATTTTTAAACCCTGCCACACTTCCCTTTCCCCATTTGCCAAGATGCTTTGGAGTCCTTGATTTAAAAAAAGGGAAGGGGGGGGGGAAAGCAAAGCACTCCTTTATCTCCTTACCCTGGATTCTGTCCCCTGTCCCATTCCTAAGCCAGCGAAGGTAACAATTAGGCCTTGACAGGGTGGAAGAAATGTGTGGTTGCCACAAAAAAAACCAACAGACAAATTGCACTAAAATATTTAAAAACTGTGCATCCTGCCACGTGCCACAAAATTCAACTTCCATTGCAAAGCTACAACATTTGCATCTTTCCCACCTTCAGTCCACATTACTGACTGACTGCCACTAGGGCTGCAGAAACATAAAACATGACGTTACTGCCTGCCTTGTCATTGTATACTCTATTCTGTAATTAACGCTGCTGTCCAATATACCCATCATCCTTCCTTCGCCCTTTGGGATTGTCCACTGCAACAGTAAAAGAATCCTAAACAGTCGTCCTTGACCACTTCATAGGGCTACTAAGAGGAAAAGTCAACCTAGCCCAACCCTCTCCATCCCTTACCTGTCTCTCACAGACGTAGACTCTTCCTCCGGTCACTGAGTCATAGTACATAGGAGCACCAATGAGAACAAGGTCTGTGTTTGCATCTCCATCGAGGTCCACAGAACAAAGAGCAGCCCCGAAGTATGAGCCAATCTGGAGGGGCTGAAATTTTCCATTGTTAATAAATGTTCTTTGCTCTCCCTGACCTCCCAGTGCTCCCACCTGCTTGCCTCCCTGGGCTCATCCATGAGCATCCCTCATCTATGCATCACTCAAGCCACAAGCAGAGGTTGCTTTCTATTTGACTGAAAAATCACAGGCAATTCATCATCTGCAACAGATGTTTAAACTATTCTGAGACAATTATGTACAACGGTCAGGGATTCCCCTCAAGCACACTGGAAAATCTTCCTCAGTTTTGTGAGGAAGATAGAGGAGCTGCTCTCGTTGGCAGTTGTGGTACTTCTGCTGCCTTTGAACAGGGATGGGTTGATTGTGTGCAACTTCTCATACACAGAGGGGTCAATCCTTTTCACGAGTCTACTGATATTTTGGGGTGGCCCCTGTAAATCTTGAGAGCCAGAACTGCTGGATAGCTCAGTGGTCTAGGTTTCTTCTGGCTGAATCAGAGGTTGGGAGTTCGATTTCCCAGTGTGCCTCCTTGACAAGGGCTGGACTCGATGATCCATAGGGTCCCGTCCAGCTCTGCAGTTCTAAGATTATTATTAAATCACTTACTCAAAATACCACCTTTTTTTGCCAGAACTAAGGGATGAAGTATGGAAGTGAGAGCTGGATCGTAAAGAAGGCTGACCGCCAAAGAATTGATGTTTTTGAATTTTGGTGCTGGAGGAGACTCTTGAGAGTCCCCTGGACTGCAAGGAGAACAAACCTATCCATTCTGAAGGAAATCAATCCTGCATGCTCACTGGAAAGACAGATCCTGAAGCTGAGGCTCCAATACTTTGGCCATTTCATGAGAAGAGAAGAGTCCCTGGAAAAGACCCTGATGTTGGGAAAGAGTGAAGGTAAGAGGAGAAGGGGACGACCGAGGATGAGATGGATGGATAGTGTCATCGAAGCGACCAGCATGAATTTGACCTAGCTCCAGGAGGCAGTGGAAGACAGGAGGGCCTGGCGTGCTCAGGTCCATGGGGTCACAAAGAGTCGGACACGACTTAACGACTAAACAACAACAAGGGATGAAGTTCCAGTTACAAGATCCCTTTGCAGTCTGTGGGCCATGTAGCCAACTTTAATTACTACAAGCCAAGGGGTGGGAGTGGAGAACAATCACAATACAAGCACGAGAAATGGACAACTCATGCTGAATTGATTTTACCTGCTTTGAAGACAGCTCTGACTTTTGCCTCCACTGCCCATTTTCCTGGCTGAACAAGACAACTTTGCCAACATGCTGGTAACGAGGAGCCCCCAACACATAGCTGTTACGTCCATTCACTTGGACAGTTGCCGTTGAATAGCCTTGAGGGAAACAAAAAGTTTAACAATAAACAAATAAATAAATATCCAGAGAATAAAGGATAGCTATCTTTCCTCATGAGGAGACCATCTGGTTATAGCTTTGTTAGGGGAATCTTTGGTCAGCAATGAGATGCAACTTCTTCTGGTGAGCCAGGGATAAAAGAAAATGCACCACCACCACCATCACCACCATCATCATCCAGTCTACTGTGTGGCAGAAGCAAAGGTCTAAAGTGCAATCTCTCCCAGGAGTGCAAAATATTACAAGAACATTTCTCTTCACACTGGAGTTTTGGAAATATTGTTTTGTAAAGTGCAGAAGCAACCTCTTTGGGCTTTTAGGTTGTTGACCAGAAACAAAGGGCATGATTAAGCCATTAAGTTTCCATGACATCAATTTGCCAGATCAGAGATTAAAATTAGTTTGGTCAGGCAGAAGGTGGTGAAAAAGGTAGGAAATCAGAAGTTCAAGTTTGTTTGTTTTTTGGAAGATAAGACCAATTCCAGCCCAAGGCATTTTGCCACCTCGAATGAAACCAATATGCTTCCTGCAGTCAACACTTCAAAAATCCTTGTTGCCTCATTCAGACACATCCTTAACTTCCTTTATCCCCTTCTCATGGTGCTGCTGACAATAAGTTGCTTCGTTTTGCAGCATGGTTTCACTAGCCCTGAACAAGGCCCATATTGCAATAAAGAAGTTACAGAGAGTATCTTCTACCAGTCAACGTATACATCAACAAATTAGTAGAGAAACCACAGCAGAAGCTGGTGATATTTATTTGTTTGTTTGTTTGTTCGATTTATATCCCGCCCATCTGGTATATTTCCCCCTCCAAAGGAGAATATTTCTGTAATGACCGCTTGGACCTTCCTTTCAATCAGGTGCACCCTTCTAAGAGTTCAAAACTCTCCCAAGAGCACAGGAGACAACAGTTGCTTTTGACTCTTACCAAGATAGGCATCTTTCAGATCCTTAGTGAAACGGGATATGTTGATAAAATTTGAATCACCACGGTTCCCATATAGGAAGACCCCTCCAGACCAGTCATAGGCACCTACTGCTCCCAGCATGGAACCATCCTAAATCATCCCAAGGGATGGCCCAAAGAAAAAGATGAGAGTACCAAATCAGTTACGACAGCAAAATTTACTATATTTATATAGTCCCAGAATATAGATGTCCTCCCCTTCCCCTTTATGTGACACTAGGACATTTTATTAGGACATATTTTCTGCTCCACCCTATTCATTGACCTTGCCAAGGAAAACCAAGCCTTGAGAAATGTCCCCTACACTACACTAGAAAGTCAAACCAAATTATCTGCCAACCCTTTCTTCTGTACTCAAGGCTCCATCTTAGGCCTCCAGAAGGACTTTACATATTTCCCTTCCACTCCTTCAGACACCAGAGACCCTGTTGAATGGGGAGCCTGTAATGACAGTGATTTGCCCAAGACCATGCATCAATTGTCCAAGTAAATATTTGAATTAGGAGTCTCATCCCATCTAAAGAGAAACTGCCTTCACATGGCATCAGACTGGTCTTCTACTTTAATTTTATTTAGTTAATTTTTTACACCTAAACTCTGGGAGGGAGTGGAAGACAGGAGGGCCTGGCGTGCTCTGGTCCATGGGGTCACAAAGAGTCGGACATGACTAAGCAACTAAACAAAAATTCAGTGTTTCCCAACCTGGAGGGCTGTGATCCCCAAGAGGATTGCAAAGTGTTTTCTGGGGGTTTCGTGTCACCTTTTATGGGTTGTAGCCCTTGTTAAATAATTCTTTCCTTGATCTTTCAGAACAGAATATTAAAGTTAGGGTGCATGCATATGTATACGTATATGAAATAGGCCCCTTGGAGGTCAACCTGGAGGGCTGTGATCCCCAAGAGGATTGTTTTCTGGGGGTTTCGTCTCACCTTTTATGCATTGTAGCCCTTATTAAATAATTTCTTCCTTGATCTTTCAGAACAGACTATTAAAGTTAGGGTGCATGCATATATGTATGTATATGAAATAGGCCCCCTGGAGGCGGAAAAAAGCTCTACTTTCTGAGAAAGAATCACTTTACCCCACAAAAAAAATTCCTTTTTATGCAAATATGGTGGTGACGGGTCACAGCTTACTTGGCTATTATAAAAGGGGCTTGTGCCCCGAAAAAGGTTGGAATTCACTGCTCTAATTCCTATACCACACTCAGGGCTCCATTAGCCCATAATTCAATTGGTAGGATGCAGAGTACAAAGTACCTTCAAGCATTGGAGCCCTAGAGTGTCTTGGCAAATTAGATTAGGCATCCTTCAGTCTCAAGAGACTATGGTAATGTGCTCTGTATGGAGGACTTAGAACAGCATCTAGTGTGGCTTAGAAGGCCAATTTGAGAGTGGCAATCCCTTCCACACTGAAGACAAATACAATCTGTCTCCTGTCCAGCTCCCTGATTTTGCTGCTTTTGGGACTGCCTCTTTGCCTTGGCCTGTTGGACAAGGGACTCTTCAAATTGGGAGAGGTCATGATGCAATGCCTGCCTCCAAGCTGAATGCTTAGATGTCAGGGTTTCCCATCTGTTGAGGTCCGTTCCTAAGGCCTTCAGATCCTGCTTGCAGATGTCCTTGTATCGCAGCTGTGGTCTCCCTTTGGGGCGATTTCCCTGAACTAATTCTCCATACAGAAGATCTTTTGGAATCCGACCATCAGCCATTCTGACAACATGCCCAAGCCAACATAGACGTCGCTGTTTCAGTAATGTATATATGCTAAACATTAGATATACTGTATTAATCTAGAGAAGGAGACAGACTGAGGACTGGAATGACTCACCGGGGTCAACAAAGCACTGAATCCCTCCTGGGACATCTCTAATTGGAAGGAACTACTGCTTTGGGATTGTGTGCCTACAAAGGAAAGACAGAGGTATACAAATCTGGGAAGTTCGACTGTCTTCATGCCCACTGAGTGCTCTTCTTTACATTTTGACTAGTGTGATGACGCATAAAGCACATGAGAGCCCGCTCTGCCATCTGCCTGTCAGAGGCACAATCACAGCATCATTCCTAGCCCTTCCCAATCCCCCCAACCCCTTGAGGTCATGCTAGATTTGGTACCTTCGATGGCAAATATTTTATCCTCAAGGTTTTTCTGGATGTCCTTCAGAGCATTGAAGTTGTTCACTGGGAAAACATGGTCTGTGGCTGGTGTAGAGGCAATGCTGATGAGCTCCTGCTTGGCTCTGCCCTGTGAGAAAGCTTGTCCAACCTTTGTAGCAGGAGAGGGAAGAATGAGGGACAACACAGAAAATAAAACGCATTGAAGATTACACGAGGGAAATGTTATGTAGCTATCCACTGAGCTATCCACTGTAGCTATCCACTGAGCCGCGCAGTGGTGTGGTTAAAATGCTGTACTGCAGCTAAAACTGTGCTCACGACCTGGGGTTCAAATCCCGTCCGTGGGGGCGGGGAAAATAGCGGCCCGGCTTGGGGGGGGGGGGGGGCAATGTGTAGCCTGTATAATTAAAAATTGTAAATCGCCCGGAGAGTGCTTGTAGCACTATGGGGCGGTATATAAGTCCAAAAATAAATAAAATAAATAAAATCCACCAATATGTGCTATAGATTTTTCCTGGTCACACGACGCAGAGACAAGTTCAAGACATTTTCCTGGCCAGTGGTGTAACTGGGGAATATTTCCCCAATCACCTGGAGGGTTGTATTATTTTGTTCCTTTGTTGTACTGGTGCGTTCCCTACCAAGATTTCCTGTGTGGACAACCTGCCCTGCTTCTTTTCAGAATCGAAGCCAGGAAGGCGGCTGCCCATTACTGCAGTGCACAGATATTTAATTTTTTCCCCATGCTGTGTGGACAACCTGCCCTGCTTCTTTTCAGAATCGAAGCCAGGAAGGCGGCTGCCCATTACTGCAGTGCACAGATATTTATTTAATTTTTTCCCATGCCCAATACATCAATACATTGGTAAAAGTATGTCACTGGGGGGCTGCTGCCATTATACTACTGGAGAGTGATATTTCTTTCTTTCTTTTGGGAAGATACATTGAAACATAGGTATGCCAATGTCACCAGGGGTTGTGCTGCGTAGATATCCCATCTCTATGGTGTGCAATGCATTTCTACAGGAGCAGCCAGTGCAACAGAGGGACACTTTCCTAAACAGAAACCCTCCGAAGCTTCCTCGGAAGTAAGTGCCCACCCCGGGGACCCGCCAGCCCCGACCTGGTGTAAGGGCCGCCGAAGGCCCTAGACCGGGCTGGGCTGGGTCGCGCAGGTCAGAGGGGCTCCTCCAGGGACGGGACGTAGGGTGGCGGCGTCGGTGTCCTGGTGCCAGGAGGCTCAGCCATGTCATGGCCATGCCCATCCCCCGTCCGTTGCAATCCACCTCTCGTGGTGCTGGAAGGAGATGCTCCTCCTGGCCAGGGTGCTTCAGCCGCTCGCCTCAGCCTCGCCCTCCACCATGATTGGCCCTGCCCCCTCGGCTGCTCCACACCACTGGCTGGGGTCCGTCACCAGCCAGCATCCACCATGGCTCGGTTGCAGCCGGGGAGTGAGTGCGATCAGAGGAGGCCTCGGACTGCCTGCTAAGGTAAGGTGCTGCTTTTTGCTTTTAAAAAACTTCTGGGTGGGTTTTGCAAGGTGGGTTCAGGCTGGGGGGTTATGATTCTGTGCTGTGTTGTTTGTTTTTTTGGTGATTTCTTTTGCAGTCCCAGCATGGGACTTGCTCCAATGTTTATTTTTGGGCTTTGTTTCATTTTTTGCAGCCCCAGACCCTTCAGGGCTTGCTCTGTTTATTTTATTTTATTTTTTTGCAGCCCCAGCATGTTCCTATGGGGCTTGCAGTGTTTTATTTTTATTTTATTTATTTATTTATTTATTTATTTTTGGCTGGAACGGATTGATCACATTCCCATGCATTTCTATGGAAAATGGTGCTTCGACTTACGATCATTTTGAGTTCCGTCCATTTTCTGGAACGGATTATGGTCATAAGTCGAGGCACCACTGTATATAAATAAAGGAGCTGGAACGGATTATGGTCATAAGTTGAGGCACCACTGTGTATAAATAAAGGAGTTAAATTGTTCCTTGAAGGAAGAGAGGAAACAAACTGGTACCATGGTGTAACCGGCCATAAGGATTCAAATAAGAGGAAGTAAATCAGTACTGCTAAAAGTTCTTGGGACATTTGTCCCAGGACATAAACCACATGACCATGATTCAGTACAACAGAGTATGGTCATAAGTTGAGGCACCACTGTGTATAAATAAAGGAGTTAAATTGTTCCTTGAAGGAAGAGAGGAAACAAACTGGTACCATGGTGTAACCGGCCATAAGGATTCAAATAAGAGGAAGTAAATCAGTACTGCTAAAAGTTCTTGGGACATTTGTCCCAGGACATAAACCACATGACCATGATTCAGTACAACAGAGGTATGGAAAGAATCGGGAAAAATATTTCCCCTGTGTGATCAAGGTCTTCGTCTCATTATCATCACACCTGTGGTGCAGGAAGGTCTCTCTCACATAACATTATTGTAATGTATTGGGAGCTTCAAGTGAAGACCCTTTGTTGGATAGGCTGCTTGCAGTGGTACTCAGATTGATGGTGCTTGCTGAGCCGGTCAATCAGGTTCGTCCTACAGACTAGCAATGGGCAATGGGAGTTTTTAACTGCTGGATATGGTCATTGATTGATTGGATGTTGGGGGGGGGGGGGGTCTGGGGAAGGTTTGAGTATATATACTGCTGCTTGCTGTGGATGTGGCAGTGTGTGGTGTCTCCTGCAAGTAAAGAGCTATGCTCTGAACCCATTATTTTACAATTACCATATTTTCCCGTGTATAAAACAACACTTTTTCCTAAAACAATTAAAGGGGAAATTGAGGGTAGTTTTATGCACAGAAATAAGGAGGGGGGAGGGATCAAAGCACTTTGATCCCTGCTTTCCCCCTCCACATTTTGCAAAGAAAGTGTAGGGGAAAAGTGAGCAAGGGGGACACGGAGCATCACTTCCCAGTTCACGTGGACTCTGCAGCCTTTTTTGGTTTGAGGCCCATGGGCGAGTGGGTTGGCTGGGACAAGCAATTGTTTAAGGCAGAAAAGGCAACTAAGATGCGTGATGGTCCTTCCCCTGTGGACAAGCACCCTTGCCTTTCAGCAGCACCAACCTTCAGGTGTTTTTGTGGGGGGGTGAGCGGTTGTGTTGCTGAAAGGCGCCCCCTTTGCTCGCTTTCGAAATTGTTTAAGGCAGAAAAGGCAGCTAAGATGCGTGATGGTCCCTCCCCTGTGGACAAGCACCTGGCAGGGTTTCTCATGCATGGAGAGGGAAAAGCCCAAAGGGAAGACAAACCCACTTCCCTCACGTTGGCTAGTGAGGGAATGAGTCCAGCTGTCATCGGTGGCAGAGCATGCCACCGAGCCTCCCCTTCCAACCCGCCGCAAACAAGAGCACACCTCCCTTTGTCTTTCCTCAGCCGAAGCAAGGACAGGCTAGCAATGAAAGCTGGCGAGACCTTCAAACAAGCAGCCAATCCACCCAACGCCGCTGCCTGCAACCTGTTCCGATGACAGGTTGCCAAAGTTCACGGAGGAAAGTCCTTCTCCCTCTTCCAAAGGCCGTGCACAGAGAGCGCGATCTGTGCATCCTCAGGGAGCAATGTAAAAACATGCCGGGGGGTGGTCTGGAAGAAACCGACAACCAGACCAGCTGCACGCAGCCCACACCTGTGGACAAGCACCCTTGCCTTTCAGCAGCACCAACCTTCAGGTGTTTTTGTGGGGGGGTGAGCGGTTGTGTTGCTGAAAGGCGCCCCCTTTGCTCGCTTTCGACCTACACTTTCTTGCAATGAAAGAAATTTTGGGTTTAAAAAGTAGGGAGCGTTTTATACATGGGAGCATCATATACACAGAAAAATATAGCATCTTTCTTAATTTCTCTCATCCACCTCAATTCTCCTCTTCACTCTTCCTGGTGCCAGAAACACACCCTATTTGAACAGCATCCATGGCATTTTGAAGAATGGGACTTTACTGCAAATTTGTGACGGAGAGAATAAATGCATGTAGTCAATACAGTTCTAACTTAGAAATGCCAACCAACCAGTAGAAGACATCTCTTTCTGTTCTTATGCATTTAGGAACTGCTCGATTGGCTGAAATGCTTGATCAACCAAAGTTTTTTGCAAATGTAGATCCCTGCTATAATCAGTTGATATCTACATATCAAGCTACTGTAAAAAAAGAAGCTATAAAAAGGCTGGCTAAACCCTTCTCTAACTTTATAGTTGTGATCCATGTTTCAAGCCCGCATTTGTTTTCTTTACAATGTTTTGAGAATTTCTTGGGTGGCTTTCTTACCCCAATAGCAAATCGGATGATGCCGGCTTGCTCAGCTTCTGGTATAACATCATTATACTCCAGGGGGTCCCCTGATTTCTCTCCATCTGTTATCACAATGAGAACCTTAGAGGCATCCTGACGGGCTCCTTTTTCTGGGAGAAATTGCTCACGCCTGGAGAAAAATTGTAGAAATAACAAATTACACTGGGACCCCCTATCTGTGGGATCAGTACCTGCTAATTCATTTAACTGCTGTCTAAAAATGCTAAATAAACAACACCAGAAATAATATTTCTAGGGTGTATTTACCAAAGCAGGCCTATAGATGGAGTCAGAGATCATGTAATGTATAGTGATTGATACTTACACGTTTTTCAGCATCCTCAAGGGACTTGGACCCAATCCTCTTTGGATGCTACAGCTCTACTGTAACTCTTTTTCTGTTTCCTTCTTATGAAAACATATCACACATCAGCCGTATGGAATTTAACATATTGAACACGATTTCAGCCAGTGAATGAAAAATGGCAATTTCATGACTAAACATGGGAGCAACCAATATTTTATATTGAATGAGATTAATCAAACGATTACTTACACCACTTTCTGGATATATGTAGCTGTGTAAGTTGCCCCATACAGCTGCGATACTCTTCTGAGAAGTGCATCGGGATCTGGTGTTCTCTGGAACTCAAGAAAGTCAAACTCTTCTTGATATCCTCCAGAATACTGGGACATGGCAAACTAAAATGTGAGAGCGTGAGAGAGCAGTGAATGGAAACAGACATTCAGAGAACACTCAACATAAACTTTGTAAGTGCTTGGCTGACAGACAGTGACACAAATTAAAATTCTGGAATCCACGTTCTGTGGCATGGAAAGCTCAGCTCTGCAGTCTGTAGAAATTATGCAAATGGAGTCAGGCATAAAGTGTTTTCTACAAAAGGCTTCAGGAGGTTTTGGGGGCCATGAAGACCAACTGTAGGGTTGTGTTGTTGTTGTTTTTTGTAGATTTTTTAATATATATCACATTTTCTCTCATTCCTACAAAGCTAAACAACCTCTTTGTCAAAGTGGGTACAGAACAAGGGTTCTACCTCCTCACATATGGACAAGCCACGTACTTCATTTTGTGGTGGCCTGAGGGCAGAAAGACACTGAGAAGCTGTCACTAGGGGTGAATGTCTAGTAGTGCTTAAGAGACAAGACTGACAGACATGATTTCATGTTTAAGAAACCAGGCTTCAAAGAAGTCCCACACTAAGTCTTCAGGACTAATCAGAACACAAAGCAAGCTAATATGCAAATTCCAGGAGGTGAGAGATGCTCCTGCTGTGCATTTACACAGAATCAAGATTTTCATTTTCTACTGATATGTCAGTTATACCATCTGTTTCTGCCTTGACCCTTTGTGTCTAGAACTATTTCCAATGAGAACAGAAACAGAGTGCTTTAAATTTGTGTATGAACATGTCATTTTGTTGGGAAATTAGTCCTTCCATTTTTACCTGTACTATGATTTTTAAGAAAACAACAACACATCGTACTTTTCCATGTATAAGACGCTCCCATGTATAAGACACCCCCACTTTTCTAATCCAAAATTAAGAAAAATAAGTGGGCTTAGCGAGTGTAGGGGGAAAGGGATCAAAGTGCAGGATCACTTTGATCCCTTTCCCCTCCACTTGTTTTTGTTCTCTCCTCAGCTTACTTCCATGTATAATTACTCCAGTTAACTCCTGTCCTCTTTCCTTTTTCCCCCCTCTTTATTTGATTTATTTTTATTTTTACCATCTTATAGAATCATTTAATTAATTAATTGTTATAAATTTTTTTAGAACTTGTTATCCTTATGTTGTAAGCCGCCTAGAGTGGTCGAAATGACTAGATAGATAGATAGATAGATAGATAGATAGATAGATAGATAGATAGATAGATAGATAGATAGATAGATAGATAGATAAATAAATAAATAATATAAGACGACCCTCAATTTTTAATCTAAAGATTTTAGACAAAAGTATAGTTGTATACATGGAAAAATACAGTAATTTAACAACATTAATAAAATGCTAACTATTAACTTTATTTATATTACAAAGCACAACAACAAACCCTTAACAACTTCTTTCCGGAATCATTATTGCTTGACCAATTAAACTATCAAATGAAACACAAACAGAAGAGGTGGGAAGAATTGATTTGGTGAGGTAAAATACAAAACTGATTAATGACTATGTAACCAAATCTTTAATAAATGAAACCAAACTTCCATTCACAACAGTACCATTTCATTCGATATCTGCTCTCAACATTTCAGTATTACCTGGGTGCTGGTATTCTGGAAACGCTTCATGACTTCAGATATAAATGTCTTCATCTGTCTGAACGCATGATAGCCAATGCTCCCTGAACCATCGACCAGAAGAACGATGTCAGTGAGTCGCTTTGGACATTCTAAACGAAAACAAGTTAGAGGAGAACACATTTGGGAGCATGTAATAAAACTGATTAAGACCACGCTATGTCAGTGTACAATCACATTTTGTAAAAAGTGGACCCTTCTCAAATTGCAGTCCATCTTATGAAGGAGGCAACGATGGCACAGCTGACATCTTCAATGGCCCTTATCCTCCATGCTAGTCCTGGTCTTCTTCCCAAGGATATATGATGAGGATACACAGTAAAGCTGCAAACAGAATCCCATAAGATAGACATTTTCAGGGAGTATATTTGTAAATACTGTATATCCAGCTCCCTTGTATGCCCCTCACAAGGTTCCAAAGGGGTCACTTTAGCCTGTAGCGCCTATGACAGGTGTGTTCACTGGGGTTTGTTTGGCCCTCAGTTTCATGTGTCTTGGTCTCACCTGGCAGGCTGTCAGGAAAGCGCTGTGTTTGCCTTAGATTCTGGTCCAGTAGGAAACAATAGCCCTTCAGGTATATATTTTCCCCACAGGTCTGATACACTGTGGGACCACACACCTGTGGAACCAAAGAAGCATGGTTAGAAGTGTTCAAACACAAGGTGTGGCCAGCAGTGCCTGATTTAAACTGGGGTTTCAACAGTTTCAGAATCTATACACCCTAAAAAATATTCTGCACAAGTCATTTCATATGCATAGGCCATCAGATACTCATTATTTAGCTGAGATTTTTGGAAAACACGCTTTGCTTGTACTGAAATACTGTACTCTCTTTTCTTAACTATGACCGCAACGACACATACAGAAAGCACCAAAGTCACTTTTCAGCAACTTGTTGTTTCAGATGACCCAAGCCATGATACAGTTTTTAAAAGTGTGTATTGGCACCATTTTAAAACCACACCTGAGCTTCTGTCCTGTCCAGTCAATGCTGGCAGGCTTTCCAGCTACTAATGGCACCAGGGTCTGAGCTCATTATGCAGCCAAATTGGAGCTGCTGGAACTGCCCCTGAGGAAAGAACAGTATTGCTGTCCAGCCAGTGTTTTTGCTGGGGTGGGGGGCACTCTAGCAGCTCCTTTCCCCACACCTTGCAAATGGGTGAGACTCCTGTGGTCCAACTCTGTCAATAGTGGCAGGATGCCTCTCAGCATTGGCCAACCAGGAGGTCAGGAATTGCTCTGCATACTGCTTTGATGTGAGGCAGTTTCACATCTGTTTTTAGATATTCTGGGTTTACCTGAAACATGTAGTTCCTGCTTATGACATAAAAGATTCTTCTATTAAGGCTTGTCATTCTATGAGGTTCTTGGAGTTGAGCCCTGGCTAAAATGAAGCTTTAGATGAGCTTTCAAAAGAGAAGAATCATTTCCATCATCTCTTCCCTTCTAATGAGATGGGAAGAGATGATGGAAATGATAATGGAAAAGTCAGGGGATGGGTCAACAACACAGAACAGGCAGCAAAACCCACAAAAGGGATGTCGAACCCCTGCGAGGTTAATACACTGTGGTCATTTGCCACCTTCTTTCTCTCTTAGGTTGCTATGGTTACAGTAGGCCGACTTTATCCCTTTCTTGCAGCTTCTTGATCAAAACTTTCAGTCATCAGCTAGGGGTGTCAACAGGGTTCCTTGGCCTTCATGATTTTAGGACAGGTTTTATCCAGGAATAAGAAGTAGTATCTCAAAATAATAATGATAATGATAATAATTTAAAAAGAGCCACTTGTGACCATTGCTGCTTACCAGTGACTGAGAGCCACGGGTGGAAAGAGATAAGCCAAGAGACATGTTCACTGCATCGGCCGGTACTGACAGGAAAAGAAATGCATCAGGCAATAAGACTTATGTCACTTATTAATACACGAGGAGGAAAACATGCAACAGTCTCACAGCGACTGCTGACTGGGAGTAGCGGGATATGTGTTTTCCTAAAGTATATTTGTAATTAAAGAAATTACTGACTGATACCTGAGAACACACTCCCTCTCCCAAATATATTACAATTTTCTTCTGTCTAAATCTGCACAGCATTGAACTGTTGGTCTTCACCTAGATTACTTCAATAATCTTAAATCATGCCCTAGCATTAACTTCAACTCCAAGTATAACTAAAGTAGAAATTACACTTCAGAGACATGGACAAGTTAGAGGCAATCATCAAGAAATGTCTTGTTGCAAGTTAATAATCATCATGTGTCACCAAGTCAATTTAGATGAAGGGTGACCCTTTTCAGGGGGTTTTTCAGTAGAGACTACTCCGAAATGTTTCACCATTCCCTTCTCCTGGAAAAAAATGTTTTTTGTTTCTTTGTTTGCTCTCAGAATCATGCTGGCTAAGGAATTCCGGGAGCTGCAGACCAAAATGTGAATTTTCCAAGGTAAAGGTAAAGGTTCCCCTTGACGTTTAATCCAGTCATGTCTGACTCTAGGACCCGGTGCTCAATTTAGATGAAGGGTGACCCTTTTCAGGGGTTTTTCAGTACAGACTACTCCGAAGTGGTTCACCATTCCCTTCTCCTGGAAAATTTGTTTGTTGTTTCTGTGTTTGCTCTCAGAATCATGCTGGCTAAGGAATTCCGGGAGCTGCAGTCCAAAATGTGAATTTTCCAAGATTTGAATTATTAGAAAAATTAAACCATTATGGAGCATCATCTTATTAAACAAACATTTTTGCAACACGTTAATAGATAGTTGTACATCTTGAGATAACCCGCAGTGCCACCACGTCCCAATTTTTCAATGTTTGCATTATTAGAAAAATTAAACCATTAGGGAGCATCATCTTATTAAACAACAATTTTTGCAACATGTTAATAGCTAGTTATACATCTTGAGGCTAAAAACAAATGCAAAGTATCTTTTTGGTATTCTTTTTCTTTCTCATAATCTACTGGGAGGTCTCTTCCTTCACAGGCTCTAGGCCTGACTTCCCTTCCATTAACTGCCGCTTGACCTCCTCCAAATTTGAATTTAACAGATTCTAACTGCCTTTGGATGCTACTGTCAATCAAATACAGACTGTTTTGTGAATAGACATTCCCTCTGCCAAATGGAAGCCAAACCATCTAGTAATGAGTCATAATAGCTACAGAAACTTTCTGACCACTCTTCCTCACAGAGGTGAAACCAAACAATGCATTAGAGCATGACTGCACATCCAAAATATGAGGGTAAAGATAACATTGGCTTTATTTACAAGCAGGATTGGATCCAGACACGTTGCAGCCTGAGGCAGAGAGAGGTGGCAGCGGTGGGGACTTCTCTATTTTACCTCCAATCCTCTTGTCCTAATGAACAGGGCTAGCTCAAGATATTTTGCTGCCTGAGGCAAAGGACAAGATGGTACCCTTATCCATTCCTTGCACTGGCAGTTGAACTTATATCCGTGCTTCTGATGAGGAAGGTCCTGCCTGAAGCCAGAGACAGTGTTGGCAAGACAGTGTAGGGTAAACCACTTGTCTCCCCCAAGCGAGAGGAATGTTCTAGAAGCTCAAGAACAATGCCTGGGAGGCTGTCACTGCTACCCCTCAGCGTGTGCCACCTGAAGCAGTTGCTATATTCTGTCTAATGGTGGGGTTGGATCCACAAATGAATGCCATTCCTCTAAAGCTCTTCCTTGGTTGGAACCACTTGTGCGATGAAAAGCAGGTAGATCAGTGTGGTAGGGGTTTTGTTGTCGTCAAAACCACAGGAGAAAGAATTTACCATACTCTAGTTTCTTGATCTGGATCAGGGCCCCAAGCCTGCTAGCTTATAAAGGCAAGGAAATATGTTCACACATTTAACACACTGAGTATGTTCTAGAAGCTCAAGAACAATGCCTGGAGGCTGTCACTGATACCCCTCAGCATGTGCCACCAGAGGCAATTGCTATATTCTAATCATGGGGTTGGATTCACAAATGAATGCCATTACTCTAAAGCTCTTCCTTGGTTTGGGAGTGAGGCCGCTTGTTTAGAACCACTTCCTCCTGCGATGAAAAGCAGGTAGATCTATGTGGTAGGGGTTTTGTTGTCGTTGTCGAAACCACAGGAGAAAGAATTTACCATACTCTAGTTTCTTGATCTGGATCAGGGCCCCAAGCCTGCTAGCTTATAAAGGCAAGGAAATATGATCACACCTTTAACGCGCCGGGTAGCTTAGCTATTGGAAGTGGTGTGCTATGAGATTCCAGTCAGAATCACGGTCCACGGCTGCACACGCATGGTGCCTGGTGTGGTTGCAAAACTGCATGCAGACATGGGTGTAACCTCCAGCAGTAAGTTGCACAGTTTGGTTAGGAACTCCCTTCCTCTTTTGCAACTCCATAGGAAAATTGCCACCAAGCACTTACTTTGCAAAGTCACCTCCTGACATCTGCTCGATTTGCCTGGTATTGGCTGACAGCTGTACAATTTACCTGTTTCGTTCACATCTCCCTTCTGGAGTGGGGCGCCAACAAGCACCCTGCAGGGAGTGAAAACACAGAGAATTTAGCAGTGGTAAGAGTATACAGGTATACGATGACAAGAGAGAAGCTAACACCCATGGATCAGAAGTTGACTGTCATGACATACCCTGCATTTGCTCCACTTCCAAACTGGACTACACTCTGCCCAAAGCCTGCTACTGCTTCTTGGAAGATAATGGGGTCTTCTGTATCCAAACTGAATGCCCAGCATGGTGTCAGCACTACAGGAGATAAAACCTCATGGTTAGACTTCTTATACAGGAAGAAGGACATGACCCCAAAGACAACAAAATAGTCTGATGACTCCTGGTAGGGAGTTCTGGATATTTGCCCTTGCAAATAGCGTTGGACTTCATCTGCCATAAACCTTAACCAGCATAGCCAATGAGCTTGGTGAACCAATGTTCTGATTAAGGTCAAACTGGACATTTAGGGGAATGCATATTTTCTCCAGTTAACTTCTCTTGCCTCCTACAGAAGGATTTCTTTGGAGATTTGTAACTTGTCCTCCAATAATCAAACTTGCAAATTAAGCCCATGTTTACATTGCAATGAACAATCACAAATAATGTAAATGCAAGATTTGCAATTGAAGGAAATTGCAATCCGTGGCATAAATATGCTCTTTACTGCACAAGGGAGCATCTCTTCTTAATGCATGCTAAATGCATCATCTAAGGCCTTGGTCACAGGATGGAAATGTTCTCTAGTTATCCCCAAGTTAGATCATTCCTCCCTCCGTCACATGATGCACAGTCAAAATCAAAATATTTTCCCAGTCATCAGTGTAATTGCAGTTTATTTTCCACTCGCTGGGAGAATTGTGTTATTTTCTACCTCTGTTGTATTGGTACATTTCTTACCGAAGTTGCCTGTGTGCACAACCTGCCCCATTTCTTTTCCGCATTGAATCCAGGAAGGTGGCCACCATTATTGTGGCATGCATATTGTTATTTTTTTAATTTTTCACTGCTATTGATACGTTGGTAAAAGTAAATCACAGAGCAATTTGAGCCATTGTTACAGTACCAGCATTTTATCTGTGTCTGTCTGTCTATCTATCTCTAAAAAACAAGGGTCTGAATTAACCATTGAAGCAAGAGAGAAAAATAAACCAGAACCATGTAGCCGGCCATAATGATTCAAATACTGTAGGAGGAAATAAGTCATTACCACTAAAAGTTATTGTGATGTTCACAATATATACCACATGACCGAGAATCAGTACAACAGAAGTGTGCAAAGTACAGAAGAACTAGAGAACATTTCCCTCATGTGCCCAGGGCCTAATTTGTCTTGCATTGTGTGGCATCTTCTTACATGCCTTACTAAATCCTAGGTGCTCAAATTGAGGGCCTTAAAACAACTTCAGGGAGAAGTCTTAGATTTTATGGGACTGAAAATGAACTGTTGACTAAGGAAAACAAACAGTTCTGGAGTAGAAACGCTTAGTATTTGTTCCTTTCCATTTTAGTAGTTGTTCCTTTCCATTTTGGGTGGTGATCTTGGAGTTGTAGTATAACTTTTAAAATTAGCTTGTTCATGTTCTGCAACAAACCACAGCATTCTTAGCCTGCATTCTGTTCTTACATTGGCCAGATAGATACCCATCAATACGAAAGAAAGATCTATAAATATGGAAGCAACATCCTGCCCATGTTCCCCAGGAATTGATATTGAGAGTCATAATGCTTCTGTGACGATTCCCATGTGGCCCCAGCTTGTTGCACCAAACAAAGAGCTCACATTATGTGCCCCTCAGCTGCCACCAGTTGATTACATCAACATTACCTACTATTAATGATAGATGTCCAGGCCATATGTCATTTTAAAAGAACCAAATAGAAATTGTTTATTGATACAGATGTTGATACAACAAGCAACGTTCTTAAATCTTAAACAAACATTCTCCTTTATCCAAGCACCTCTCTCCTGCCGAAAGTCCACAACTTTCTCAACTCTCTTACTAACACTCTAACTCTCCATCTCCAAACCGTATCTAAATTCCTCCTCTTCTTGCTGAGTCTCTTATACCTCATGACTCTGCTCCCCAGCACCTCCATTGGTCTATGCAAGTAGCATATGAATATTCATGACCTGGGGAAATGCCACAGCTTCTAATAATGAAAGTAATATATTTAGTCATGGGTGGTAGCCAAGAAAAGATACCACCCCTGCTAAAATAAAGTTCTTAATACTGCATCTATTTGCCCTAACTTAGCATTGCACAGAGCAGCGTGGTGGACATACATAGGATGCTCATCTGTCAAACAAAGGTTTGGGGGGAAATCTAGGAACTAAAAGGAACATTTAAAGGTTTTCCATAGAGAAGGATTGCCCTGGACGGTTTCCTTTCTTCTTTGGATTTCCTGTGGACATTACAGTGCAAAGGCTTGAACAAAGAACAGGGCAGGGTGGGGCACCTGCCTCAGCCGGCACGTTTGGGGTAACATGAAAGGATCTCAAGTGGATCAATATTTAATTTGATATTAATGTGTTTTTAGCGCCAGAAAATGCGAGAGACACCCACGGGGTTTCCTGCTTTGTGCGCCAACATGACCAAGCTGGCATTGGGTATTAGGCACATGAACTTGGCCAGTGGGAGAAACTGAAGGTATTGGTTTCTGTTTCTTCCGTTGGTCTCTGGGCCTGTCCTACAGTGGTGGGGGGATTGGCACTTAAAAGGTTCTTAATTTCAGTGCAATATATTTCATTGTTCACTTGAGGGATCTTTCCATTCACACTGGAGATGTTTACTCTCTGGTGAGAAGGATCCACACAAGACTTGTTTACTTGTGTGGAATTGCACCTGGTTAACTCACAAGGAAGGTTGCCCTGATTTATTCATGAGTAAGGAGGCGACGGTACTGGAAGGGAGGGGGGTAACGTTGGGCTGAAAGCAGGGGCTGACAGACAGGAGGACGCTGTTTACAACAGCTGCTTGGAAAGAAGAACTGGAAGCGCTGAGTTCTAGGCAAAAGGGGTCAGAAAGAGAGAAAGGAAGGAAACTTGAAACAGAGGAAGTAACTAGAGGGTTAGCCAAGAGGAAGAGTGGGCAGAAAACAAAAAAGGATACAGAAAAAAAATCAGAGTGAAGGAACCAAAAAGAGAAAGGAATTCCTTAAACAGATCTACAGTGATGCCTCGCAAGATGAATGCCTCACACAACAAAAAACTCGCAAGACGAAAGCATTTTGCAATTTATTTTGGTGACTCGCAAGACGAATTTTTCTATGGCCGTGCTTCACAAGATGATTTTTTCCTCTTTTTTTGTTTTGTTTTAAATCACACAACCATTAGTACCGCGCTTCACAAGATGAAAATTTTGCAATACCACATAACTCGCGGAATGAATTAATTTCGTCTTGCGAGCCATCACTGTATTTAGAAATACTGTACAAGGCTGTGAATGGAGTGCAGTCAAGAAACACAGCATGCAAACAAATTTCCCTTCCTTCTGTAGTCACACCCATATGAGAAGAAAGAAGTGAAGATCACAAGGAGGGACATAAATGCTAGCTCTGGGAGTTTGAAGCCTATTGGGCAAAACCTTCCAGTGACCCCTGACTTGTGTGAACTGTCTCCTTGACATTATCACCAGCTATTGTTATTTCCTCTCCTCTTTGTGATTGATGCCACAGTCTTTCTTGGGAAGCAGAGATGTAGAGAGATAGGGCAAGTTGTGACATCTCCTGCTCCTCCTTCTCATGATCAACGTGGCCTGGCCCCCGAGTGAGAAGGGGGTGGACCAAATCAGTTGTAATGGTGAAGAGGAAGTCCCTAGGGGCTCCTCTCTTGTCAGTAGGCCCCAGCGAGATGCCAGGGCCCATAGGCAGGTGCTCAACCATGCCTCCCTTCAAGGCTGGTCCTGGATGCAAGTGCAGAGAAAGAGAGAAATACAGGGCTGGAGTAAACTGGAATGTGAGCACAAACTCTGTTGTTCTGAGATGCTGTTAACAGAAGACTTTTTAAAAATGGCCAGAAACCTGTGGGTAACTGTCTTTGGTCTAGAAATTATTTTTTTAAAGAGGATTATTAAAGGATTTTTAGAAAAGGATTAGTTAGTGGGCAGTTCATATTTCTATTTCAAAGGCAGCAAGTTCTTATATATGCCAATGAAACCAAGAGAAGGGACCAAATCATCATCAGAAGGGATCAAATCATGCTGTCTGAAGGGACCAAAGTCATCATCATCATCATTGGGTATTATTTTAGCTTTTCAATGGGTCTTTCAGGAACCAGAAGCTTGGGACGACATTTCGACCAAGTGTTATTGTTCCCAGCCCAAAATTCAACGAAGAGGACCTGTTGAACTTCCGCCTGTCCCAGAACCGTCAGAAACACAGAGGCTTTAACCATAAAAGGGTGGCACCTCAGCAGGTCTATATCTTAATTACTGGGAATGGAATGGGTGCAAAAGAGAACACAGGGCAGCAAAATAGGGCTGTTGCAAAAGTACAGGGGCTAGTGGTGTAGGACGCAGGAAACATAATTATGGTCAATACAATTCAGGAAATAACTATATGGTTATCTCTGCCTAGACAGACTAAACCTTGACTTCCATGTTTGTTTCTGCTAGGTCATGCTGTAAGCTATTTGCAACCCCCTTTCTTCATATCACTTCCTTAGGGTGTGCAGTCTATTGTGAAGAAACCAGAAGAGGAGATGGCATGACTAGGAGAAACACAGAGGGTGAGGTGGAACATTTCCAGCCAGCCTGAGGGCTGGAGGTTCTGCAATCAGAAAAGAGGGGAGCATTAAGGGGAAGTTCATATCCTTTACGAAAATATAACCATGTTTTACCCATGGCTAGAGGGGAGCATTAAGGGGAAGTTCATATCCCTTACGAAAACTTACCCATGGCTGCAAATCAGTTTTTGCACAAACTGGTGAGTACAAATGCCTCCATGGGATCACCCACACATAATTGGAGAGAGGTGGTTTTTATCCCGCTACTGTAATACTAGAATTTGGGGTCACCCAATGAAGTGGGGAAAGTGTTTCATGTTGAAACATGACTGCATAGTGTGGTGGTGTGGAAGAGTTAACTTCAACAACAGTGAAATAATTTATGGACGTTTCTGCCACAAAATTAAACATCTGCATTTCAGCTGATCAGTTCTTTGAACAGTGAATGTACTTGTCAGGACACCAACGTAGGACCCAAAAAATATGAAAATGTTTCTTTTTGGTCTATGAGATCTTGTGTCCCCCTGCCAGTATGATTTTGGGAGTTGAAAAATGAACATTTCAAAACACTAAGGGAAAAGGTGCATAAACAAATTAATGAACTCTTCTTACCAAAGTGGTAGCTGAAGCCCCTTTAATATTTTCTGTCTTATCCCTTTGTACCATCATACCACTCATTTGTTTAAAAAGTGTGTCTTTAGTTCAGGTCCTTTGCATAAATGTACACATGACTAGTTAACCACTGCTCTAGTTGGTTAATCTACTGGAGAAAGCTAGCTATCCTAATTCCGCAGCAAAAATATGTACCATAAGTTCTTTGTCACATTGCATCTTACAAACAGGACTGCCTTACATCCAGCACACATATCTACATTTATGTAGATGTGTCGTATACTGAATATAATTTAGTGCATTTGCTTCTATTTAAGTTGGTGGTTTTTTTCTTAACTGAGTTAAGATGGATTTCTCTGTACTCTATGTTCCAGCGGTGCGCCTACTTTTTAATAAGAAAAAAACCCCACATGCATTATTTTCTTCTATCACCCATATTGTAATCTAGCAAAGGTGTGAAGCTTCTGTATTTCAAAAGAATAGTAACATCTCAATATCTGTTATGTGTTAACAGAAAGCCCATTCACATACCATATGCTGCAGAGTAAACCACTGGCTCTGGATTTCAATTTACAAGTGTATCAACTCCCTTTACAAATCTCTCCCCACTTTCAGTTCTAGCTCAGGGATGTCCCCTGCTTCAGCAGTAAATAATAAACAAGCACTTACCAGCGGTGCCCAAACAGATGATCACTGACAGAGAGACCATCCTTGACTGAAGCTGACAGTGGACAAGCCTCGGCTACACTAGAAATGCATAATTAGAGCGATTTAGAAGAAGTGGGTGTTTACATCAGGACACGATATGTAACAAGCATCAGGTGAAGCAAGCCTCAGTGATATTTGCAAAAAGCAGGAGATACGAGGGGGGGAGCAAAGGGGAAGCTGAGTCAAAAGCAGCAGGAAAGTATGTGGGATTTTTTTACCACAAGCGAGGCCAAAATAGGTAGATTACTTGCTCCCTCGACTAGCACAACAGAGTGGATCAACATGTTTCTTCTTTTATGCCATCATCACTTTGTAGACTCAAGACATCAGATGCAATTCTGAGCTCTCCAGCTGGCATAGTGGGAACACATCTGACAATAAATATAATGACAGCTCTCTGCCCATTGGGTTCATCATCTGTAATTTTGCATAGGGGGTTCAGCAGGTTGAAAGAGTAAGCAAAGAGGAAAACATTCATTCAGTTCAGTTATTCCCAGTGTTATAAAAATACTTCTTTTTTCTTTTTTGGACAGAGACGTCACCTTGCCGACAAAGGTCCTTATAGTCAAAGCAATGGTTTTTCCTGTAGTGATGTATGGAAGCAAGAGCTGGACCATAAAGAAGGCTGACCACCCAAGAATTGATGCTTTTGAATTGTGTTGCTGGAGGAGGCTCTTGAGAGGCCCCTGGACTGCAAGGAGAACAAACCTATCAATTCTAAAGGAAATCAACCCTGAGTGCTTACTGGAAGGACAGATCCTGAAGCTGAGCCACCAATACTTTGGCCATCTCATGAGAAGAGAAGACTCCCTGGAAAAGACCCTGATGTTGGGAAAGTGTGAAGGCAAGAGGAGAAGGGGACAACAGAGGATGAGATTGATGGACAGTGTCATCAAAGCAACCAACATGAATTTAACCCAACTCTGGGAGGATGTGGAAGATAGGAGAGCCTGGTGCGCTCTGGTCACGAAGAGTTGGACATGACTAAACAACAACAACAACTCCTCAGCTGGTGTGGCCAAAAGGTAGCTTCTCCAAGCTTCAGTTATTCCTTTTGGTCTCCTTACTTTGTTTAACAGTTTAAGGATTTGATTTGCTTCATCGGATGAAGATGAAGGGCTTGTGTCCAAGTCTTCATGGAAAAGGTAGGTTTAGGGAGAGTTTTTGAAGAAAATTAGAAGTATAGCAGTTACATGAATGAGAAATGGCGATCCTACGCACGTCTGCTCAAAAGTCCCCTTCAGTGGATTGGTTACAAAGCCAGCCTTCAGTCTTCCCACACCAAATTTCTGCTTCCAGGCAGTTTCATGAGAGGAGAAGGAATTAGACATGATAAACAAATGTAAGGATGTGTCACTGGAGACCAAGATCATCCACACCCTTGCATTTCCAAACACCATGTATGGTGAACCATGAAGAAAAAGTGACAGGGAAAAAATTATTTGTTTGAAATGTGGTGCCTGAAGAAAGCTTTGTGGATACCCTGGATTGCTAGAAAGATGGACAACTGGGTCCTAGATCAAATGAAACCGAAACTATCTCTGGAGGCAAAAACATCGAAGCCGAGGCTGTCCTACTTTGGGCATATCACAAGAGAGGATTCCCAGGAAAAGAAAATAATTCTGGGAAAGGTTGCAGGAAAAGAATGAGATGGGCTGACTCCCTAAAGGAAACCACAGGTTTGAGTCTGCAGGAGCTGAGCAGGACTATTGAGGACAGGACGTTTCATAGGGTTGCCGTACATCGGAAGTGACTAGATGGCATGTAACAACAGATTTGCATTGTTATTAAATATTATTATTAAATAAATAATCAGGTATTAATTATAGGTTTGCTGCAAAAAGGCATGGACCTGCTTGAAGCACATGTCCTGTTTCAATGCAAATCCTCACATTAATGCTGTTAAGCCCTTGTTTTTAATCCATAAATGTACAATCCCGTTAGCAGTAACCTCTACAGAAAAGGGCACCAGCGTGAAAACAGAACCCACAAGGCTCACTTCTGAGCCAGCCAAGGCAAATGTTTCCTGCCTTCATCACAACCCAGTAACCTTGCTGTGTTTCTCAAGGTGACCCTCAAGAGCAGGTTGTCCTGCCTAATCGTGCTCCCTCACCAGTGTTGGGCACCTCACAGCACCAGTTCATGGGTTTCCCCAAGCCTTCTGAGCAATGTAGGATCTGACACAAGTTACTGCAGTATTTAAAAGTACTGTATGGGTTGGGCGAGCGACATGTCCACTGGCAGGAGCTGCTGTGAATTCAACCCAGTTTTTTCCAGAGTATGGCATTTCCCCCTATGTATCACCACCATGAATCAACTGTCTTTTCAATGGCATACAAAGGATAATGTGTATCTAAAAAGATGTGGTGTGGATAGCTATTAAGGCTGCCTTGTTTTATCAATTAGTCATGTGCATTAAATGTTGGGTTTGTTCCAAAGTAATCTATTCATACATGTGAGAGGGAACAGGGACTATCTTTTCTAAGATGATGGGTGCTTCATCTAAAAGGAAGCACATTTTTTTCCTTGCAAACCAATGGGTGTCTCAAAATTCACTGCAAAAAGTGTGGTGGGGAGAGGTATTAACTGTGGAATGAGCTGCAACCGGAGAACGGTGCCATTGCAGTACCAATCAAACCACAGAGCGGTGGTTGCCACCCTTGGGTCCCTGGGCCTTCTTGGACTGCATCTCCCAGAATTCCTGGCTAGCCTCTGGTGGTTGCAGTTCAGTAATTTCTGGGGACCCAAAGTTGGGAACCACTGCCATAGAGACAAGAAGCCCTGTGGCTCTGTCAGTTGTGAGGGAACCTTTGGATAAAAGGTTCTGCGTATTCTCGAAGGCTTTCATGACCGGGATCTGATGGTTGTTGTGGGTTTTTTGGGCTCTTTGGCCATGTTCTGAAGGTTGTTCTTCCTGACATTTCGCCAGTCTCTGTGGCAGGCATCTTCAGAGGACTTAGGGTTAGGGCCGGAAACAGAGAATGGCGAAACATCAGGAATAACAACCTTCAGAACACGGCCAAAGAGCCTGAAAAACCCACAACAATCAAAAGGTTCTGCCTTTTGCTCAAAAGATCCATGCCAGAATGGCTGTACCAGTGTACTGAATATGGCACAGAGTTACAGCAGCACATGCCAGGGCACTAGCATACCACCATACCAAAAACATGGGATGCTCACGACAAGAAAATGGATGTGTACTAGAATGTCCACTTTTTCTTTTCTGGCCCTTACTCCTGCCCCATATGTGGCAAGATACTTGAAGGGTGCCCTGTCTTTCACCAGCATGGCCAAATCCATACAAGGAAGAAGCTATTTGACTGTTGGGTATGCGGCAAATACAGTAGGTGCCGCTGAAGCCTGCCAAACACTGTGTCAAACTAATGATTGGCTTGCCTTCATGGGCCCACTGCTTCTGGATAAACATCCAATTTTGCCAGTCATAATTTTTATGACTCTCCGAAGGCTGCCATCGGTCCCCAGTGCAGCCAGTTCTTTCAGGGACGGTAGCCTTTGGCTAAACATGACTCTGTCGCTCACTCCGAAGAACAGCCCCACCAGTGTTGAGGATGGTGGTAGGGCCCGCAGCTGGATCACTCATCTCCAAATGCACCTACATCTAATGTGGAATATCAGATCTGTTGAGGTATTAATGGTCTTGAAGCACCACCATAGCAGCTATGGGGAAGGGCCCTCCCGCTTTCAGATCTGTGGGGAGACGTTTGGCTACAGGATTTTATCAGCCAAGCATCTGCGTACAGCCACGGGACAGACTACCGTAATGAAATAAAGCACTTCCTGCTTTCGGTTTGTTCGTCAGGGGCTCACTTAGAGCCAGTTAAGATGATCTACAAAACCATGGTAAAGAATAAGCTATTGTAAGCTGTAGAGGATAGAAAGGGAAATTAATGCTGTCTTGTGTTGTCAGGGTTGGGGTGTGGAAGACGGTTCATCTAGAGTGAAAAGCAATGTGTCACCGAAATCGTTTGCCCTTGCTAATTTTATTACACACTTAGTTTTCTGGGAGGGGCAGGTTCTGTCTGTCCCCCCTGCCACTTCACATGGGCAAGCATTCACATGTGTGGCTAACTTTGCTGATTTTCCTCTTTTCTTCTCATCCCTTTTTGATTTTATATTGCATCTTTCAGATTCAACGCCTGCAGGCCAGGAGAATTTTGCTTGTATTTATCTCATGTAAAAAGGGACATGGTGGCGCTGCAGGTAAAACCGCAGAAGCCTCTGTGCTGCAGGGTCAGAAGACCAGCAGTCGTAAGATCGAATCCATGTGATGGAGTGAGCTCCCGTCGCTTGTCCCAGCTCCTGCCAACCTAGCAGTTCGAAAGCATGTAAAAATGTGAGTAAATAAATAGGTACCACAACGGTGGGAAGGTAATGGCATTCCATATCTAGTCGTGCTGGCCACGTGACCACGGAAACTGTCTATGGACAAACGCTGGCTCTATGGCTTGGAGACGGCGATGAGCACTGCGCCCTAGAGTTGGACACGACTGGACTAAATGTCAAGGGGGACCTTTACCTTTATCTATCTCATGTAAGCCAGTCCATGAGTCTCTTTGCCTGAAGAGCAGGGTAAAAATGATTTAAATAAACATGCATCCCTGCTCGAAATGCCACAGCGCTGGAATAGCTCTAGCACTTAATATTGAATCTTCTGTCAAGCTTGCCATTTAGATGAGATATTCATGGTTTTATGTCTGTGGATAAACAAGGAGGTGTTAATCACCCAAAGATGTATTGAACTCTAAACTCTGGGAGTCTATATATTTCACAGAAAAAACATATTATGGAAAAAAATTCTTTGTGTTTCCATTTTGTTTATGCTGTGTATGTATGCCATGATTGGCACAAGCCATTTGCAAACCTTTTGTTAAAGGTTGTTACTACATGAATAAACAAACAGGACAGTAATTTTTGTTGAAGTGGAAAGTGACTATTACATTTATATTGATTCCACCGCTTGTTGGTTAAGGTTATTTTTATGAAATCAACATCTGAAACAAATATCTGCAAGTAAATGTTTATTTGGGAGTGTAAATTTAAATTAATTTATCCAGATGTCTGCTCCCCCGTTCCCTAAATAAGCTCATAGAGGTTCTTTGTCCTACGTTCCCTGCCTTCAGACTTAGGACAGGTGAGCAGGTTGATAAGGGCTAGTGTCCTCTAATATATTTTGAACGTGGTGGTTTCCGAGCATTTGCTAACAGCAGCAGCTGTGCTAAAGGAATTGTGATCACCTCCTGATGGGAGCTGAAACAAATATTAAGTCATAGGTATGTGAATCAGACAAGAGTTTGATACCAGGAGAAATTTTATTCTGTGCTCAGGAAAAAATGTGTGGTGGTGGGGTTATTCGCCACTTGGGCTGTGTCCAAACCCTTCTTCCTCTTTGGGAGTTTGCAAACACTGTCCATGTATTTCCCAGTTTTATTCTTCAGACTGTAAGCCAGAGGACATTCATATTTTAAACCAAGAAGATGGGGCATGATTTCGGTTTCGGGTGGTCAACTGTGGTTATGCTGAAGGCAGGGACGCATCTGCTCAAGCAGACTGTTATGTGAATAAAATGTAGAGGTTTTCTGTGGTGTGATGTTGCAATGGCCAGCAATTTGGAGTGTGTGCAGGATGTGGCTTGCTCTGGGGCTAACTTTTTTGCATACGTTGGGCGTCTTTGAAACAGGGAGCTGTGGCTGACTGTGACTATATACTCTAATATGTGGCTGGTGTTTTGAACTCCTTGGGGCTCAGGGCACAAGCTGGTTATACTACCCCTCTCGCTCTGGGGTGTAGATAATCAAAGGGTGGCTGTTTTTGCCCTTATCGTGCCAACAGACATCAAAGAAGGGGTAGACAGTGCCTGAGAAGCGCTCATGGAAAGCGAACATCTGCACCAGGTTATCTTCATCGCTAGCATCATAGAAGGCCAGGACACCGTCACCAAAGCTGAGGTAGATGCCAATACGGGTGGGTTTTCCTTCAGGCTTCAGCAGCCGTGGTTCCTTATGCTCCACATGAGCCTCGTAGGTCTTGCCTTCCTTGCAGCCCATTAGCCAGAAACCGTTGGAAGGGGTGGCGTGCAGGCGGCCCTTTCGCCCGGCTTCGGCAGAGATGACACCCAAAGCCCAGCGCGGCTTGTCGTTGACAGTCACCTCCCAGTAATGTTCGCCCTGCGAGAAGCTCTGATGCGTCACCAGGCAGTTGGACTTGTCAAAGCGCTGGGGGTCATCTGCGCTCACCGGCTGCTTGTGCTCCACACACTCCACCCGCTTGCCGTCCTCTGACACCACCAGGTTGGCTTGAGCAGTGTCTGGGTCAAAGGTCAGGTTCTCCAAGCCTGGGGAGGAGGAGAAATAAAATGCAAATGTATGTACACTTATGCACAGAGAGATATTCCCTCCCCCTCATTGGGAATATTGGCCCCAGAATTCTGTAGCCTGTATTGGCTATGCTCGCTAAGGGATTCTGGTAGTTATAATTCAAAAAAGCATTATTTTGGAACTTCTGCTTGCCCTGCCCGATCTTTTCAAGCCCTGCTATTGCAGGTGGCCACTCTGAGAAAGGCTCAAAGCCTTCTCAGCTGTGGCCCCGTCCTTATGGAATAGACTCCCCGTGGAAGTGCCTCAAGCTTTGTCTTTGTTCACTTTCAAAATACTGTTAAAGGCTGAGGTGTTCAACGACGTTCTTTCCTCAGGCGTGAGTGGGATTCAGCTCTACCTTGTCCTACCATCATCACTAGTTGTTTTTACTGATGCCTTTAGGTCTCATAATTTCATTTTGTCTGATGGTATGGTTTTTCATTTTAATTAATCATACTGTTGAGAACTGAGGAAGGGTGTAGATATATTGTTTACTTTTATGTCTGTTGTTAATCACCATGACTAATGCTTTGCCCTATGTCAGGTGGTATACAAATATATGGAACAAACAAACGAATGAACCAACCAACCAACCAACCAACCAACCAACCAACCAACCAACCAACCAACCAACCAACCAACCAACCAACCAACCAACCAACCAACCAACCAACCAACTCACTCCCATCTCTGGATTTAAGTAAATATTTCTTTCTATTTTAAAAGATAGGAGTTCAGTCCACGGGTGACTGCTCCACACTTACTCTTTTCTGACTAAAATTTAGAGGTTGATTCAGAGTCACAGAACTATTTTTGCTCTGCAAACAAGGGGTGACACACTGAAATCCTCAGGCAGTGGTTTTCTGAGGAATTTAGCTAGCCTCGTAAATGTTGTGAAACGTTTCCTTTTCTCTAAATTCTGTTGCACCAGTTTTCAGAGCAGCAGCTCTGTTAGGCTGTTTCTGCAAGACACCAGAGCAAAAAAGAAGTGGCGGGGTGGGGGTGGAGAGCAAAACCTAAAGAATTATAGCACCTTTAGGATTAAAGGTCATTCCAGAATGATCTTTTGTGAATAGCAATCCACTTTTTCAGATACAGTGTCTGACGGCATGGACTGGAATCCATGAAAATGTACACTGAAATAAATTTGAATGTTGTAAAAGTACCATAATTTTCTTCTTGTTTCTTTCTTGTGTTTTTTCCTTCTGTATAATTTTCTTGAGCATCGTACACCTCCTCCTGCTGCCGGTAATTCAGTTTGAGCAGGGTGGAGTAAGTCGGGCACAGAGAAAAATGAGGAAGGAGCAAAATGGTACAAAATTCTGAATTTCAACAAAAGTATGTTGTTGTTATTGTTGTGTGCCATCACATCTTAACTGACTTAGGAAGGAGCAAAATGGTACAAAATTCTGACTTTCAACAAAAGTATGTTGTTGTTATCGTTGTGTGCCATCACATCATAACTGACTTGACTCTAATAGGGCTTTCAAGATGAATGAGATATGTATCCCACAGGAGACCAAACCTTCTAATAGGGCTTTCAAGATGAGTGAGATATGTATCCCACAAGAGGCCAGACCTTCCTTTGCTGTCCTTCCTCAAACAGGTGAAGACCTTTCTCTTCAGACAAGATTTCTTAGAGTGATGAGTTATTTGAGTTTCCTTTCTCTTCAGACAAGCTTTCCTTGAGTGATGAGTTACCTGAGTGTGGTTTTTTTAAATGGATTTTTGTACCCTACCACTCTGAATATGTTTTGGTTTTGCTTATGTTTGTGTATGGTGTCTGTTTGATCCTTTTTAGTTTTATATTCACTGTTAACTTTTAGATTGTCTTCTAATGATCTTAGCTGCCTTGGGTCCTTTTAAGGAGGAAGGTGGGGTAAAAATATTTGAAATAAATAAATAATTTTAAGGAATAGATTTACCAGTTCCACCTCCTCCCGGGAGCTTCCATGGCTGAGCAGGGATTTGAACCCAGGCCTCCTAAGTCCAAGTAACCATCTGTCTGCTACACCACACTGGGTATCCACAACGAAAGTATATGCAACCCATTTTCCCTAGCTGCTCTCTGCTGAGCTCATTACCTGGCATCAGTGCGTGGTACATCTTCCGCCACACCTGAAACTTGAACTCATCGGAAATGATGGGCAACTGGATATCCATGCGAGCAACAGGTGGGGACTCTCCAAGAATCTTCTGCAATCTACAGCACAGAAGAGAAAGAAGAGGAGGAATGAAAATAATTAACACTGCTTTTTATCCTTTGTATCATTCACACTTCTGTTTTTTAAAAAAACTTAAGCATTCAAGTTTTGAAGATTTTTGAGAGTGGTGTGTGTACCCTATGTATTAATAGTGAACTAATTCCCCAGCTCAGTGAGTAGGGTCCCTGGCTGTGGAACTAGAGGCCAGGAGTTTGATTCTGCACTTTGTCTCTCAGGAAAACAGCCAGCCTGAATGGCCTTGAGCAAGTGCACAGTCCTAGAGTGCCCTCGGAAGAAATGGTAAACCACTTCTGAATAATCTAGATCTAGAATTCCCTAAGACAGGTTCCCACAAGTCTATATTGACTTGATGGCGTGCAATCATTATTATTATTATTGTACAGTAAGACCCCTGTATCCATGGGATTGGCTACTGTGGCTTCACTTACCCACAGTCTGAAAATATTTTAAAAATTCCATATTAAAACCCAGAAATATGTTCACTTATCCACAGTCTGAAAATATTAAATTTTTTCCATATTAAAACCCAGAAATATGGGATTACATGGTGCAATTGCAGGATCTGGCCATTAGAGGGAACCAGAGACCATGCTCTGATAAGTCACTGTCATTTCATCTAGTCTCCCATCAGGTTGAAATGACTCTACCTCCCAAGCAACACCATCACCTGCCACCCTTGGTTATTGTCCTTAGAGGTACAGGGAGAGCCCTTACAGGTACAGACTATAGGATTAACTATTATCTGTGGCTTTTGGTATCCGAGGGGGAGCTTGGAACTGATCTGTAGATATGGGGGTCCTACAGGCGCTGATCCTTCCATGGCCCAAATGGCACCATCTATGCCAAAAAGTGACGTATTGACAAGCTCAGGAGAATTCCCTAGAATTGCCTGATAAGGACTAAATATGCTCAGTGGGCATAGAAAGAAGATAGGTGGGCGGGCATGGAATAGAGAGAAAGAATAGAACTTCCTGAAACTTCAGATAGCCAACTGGGTCCAGCCCTGGAAATGAGTATTGTATTCCACAAGGGGCAACATTTATTTTTCTAGGCTCACCTGTTTCAGCATAATAAGGAAAGACAATTAATCGATGAAATATTATGAGAGCAGGCATCATATTAATATGAATAGATTATACTAAAATTACATGTCTTTTTGATGTAGAACTTCCTGAAACTTCAGATAGCCAACTGGGTCCAGCCCTGGAAATGAGTATTGTATTCCACAAGGGGCAACATTTATTTTTCTAGGCTCACCTGTTTCAGCATAATAAGGAAAGACAATTAATCGATGAAATATTATGAGAGCAGGCATCATATTAATATGAATAGATTATACTAAAATTACATGTCTTTTTGATGTTTAATTTTGTTGTATTCCACAAGGGGCAACATTTATTTTTCTAGGCACACCTGTTTCAGCATAATAAGAAAAGACAATTAGTCGATGAAAACTTATGAGAGCAGGCATAATATTAATGAGAATAAATTATATTAAAAGAGCATGTATTTTTGATGCTTAATTTTGAGGGCTGAACTTAGGTATGGTGGATTTATTACAAAGCTCTGCCTTTTCTTTCTTTCCTCTCGCATTTCCATGAATGCTGTGAATGATTCCTATTTCACTGAGGACACGTTTCTAAATGGTTTGAGGAAGATGACTCTTGACTCGAGCATGCAGGAAAACAAAAAAGAAAAAACGAAGAAAGAAAAAGGAAATGTGTGGGGTGGCACTCTTGTCTTGTTTAGAGGGAGGTGGTTGAGGGCAGGCTGATAGGATGCTGGGTATGGTTTTATAAAGGGACAGTTGCTTACCTCTTGGCCACTAGACAGTATTTCTGTGGGAAGAGGAAAAAGGATGTGTTAGAAAGAATAAAAGGAGGTAGCTTCTGTGTCATATCTCAAAGGTGAGAATCATGAGCTTCCAAGGTTGATGTCTAACTTCTGGAGACACCCATAACTTAAAACCCCTTCCGTAAAAATGGGAGTAATTTCATCTCCCTGTCTTATTTAAAACAGGGGCAATCAACCTCCTCAATGAGTTAGGCATCTGGGTGCAGAGCCAGAGGTTGGGAGTTTGATTCCCCGCTGTGCCTCCTGTGAAACAGAGACAGCCTGTGTACCCTTGGGCAAGCTGCACAGTCCCAAGACACCCCAGGAAGAAGGGAAGGGTAAATCACATCTGAGTATTCTGCACTTGGAAAACCCTGAGAAGGGTCACCGTTAGTCAGAAATGACTTGACGGCGCACAATGATTATTTATGAAGCAACTTCCAGAAGCCCAAGGGCACCCATGCTCCCCTCAGGGCCTCAGAGGGGATGCTTGTATATCCAAAAAGTTAAGAACATTTTACAAACTCTTCAAAAGGTTCTCCTTATGTCCTTTAGTGGGCATGGAGACATTTTGGCCAGTTCCCCCCCCCCTTTGATCCAAGCTATACTAGGCCAGGTGTAGCTTTTCTGCCAAAATCTACAGCAAGTGTAAATCATTTTGGATTTTGAAAAAAGACTCCTTGGAGCCTAAAACAGACCATAGTGGACCAAAAAAAAAACCTGGCAAAATGACCCCCACAGCCTCTCCAGGACACAAGGGTGCTTTCAGTGAAGTGGAGAAATGGTGTAGTGGGTCAAAAAGACCTCCACTGTGTTGGGTAATCCTGGGTCCCACATTTTGCTTACCCCTGCTTGGTAAATACACCTTGGTAAATACACCAAGCCCACCCTTTTCTCACATTTAGTCAATTTATTTTTTCCAAAATGGAAGTGAGCAGAAGGGACTTGGGAGGGGCTGATGCTACCTTCAGAGTTCCCTGGAGGTGGAAAAATGGTCTCCAGACCTTTGAGAAATGGCCACCCTCACTCACTCCAACATCAAGTGCCCTTCTGAAAAACTGTTAGAACTCCTCTGGGATTACATTATGATTACAATATTTATGCACATAAAGAAAACTCTAAATTTTGTGATGAGGAATAGCCAGCTTTGAGGACTATTACGGAGGGAACTAGAGATGGGCAGGAGCCGCCGGTTCAGCAGTTCACGCCGGTTCAGTGGACGGCCAAACAGGTGCTCTGTGGTTCTGTGCCCCACCTGCTCTGGCAGGCACCCACTCAGAAGCCGCCTCCCCACTTCCCTGCCCCGCCTCCTCCAGGTGCTGCTTCTGAATGAGCGCTCACCAGAAGGATGGGACACCAAACCACAGAACACCTGTTTGACCGTCTTCAGAAACAGCACAAACCCCAGAACTGGCAATTCCTGCCCCTTTCTAGATGGGACTTATTTTCCATAGGATATACTACTTATGAATATATGCAGTAGTGACACATAAACAGCATAGTTCCATATAAATCACTATGTAAAACTCATGGCTTTTTAAAAAAATATGGTTTTTGATTTGGCCTTTTCCCTGACAATCTGTTTCCGCAGCTTCTGCATGTTCCACAGATTTTCAAATGACAAGAGTGAAAAATGCCGCAAGGAAAAAATACGTCATTTGCAAATGGGTTGCTGAATGAAACAAAAAAAAAGGACAGGGTAAACTTTTACTGTGGTTGGGCTGTTGGGGGAAAAAAAAGAAAAAGACATGATGTATTGTATTGCCTTATATACAAAACCCAGGAACGTAGCAATACGGTTGTTATGTTTAGACGTTCCAAAGACTGGAGATCATCACAAAGATGGAGCCGGAGATGACTCACCCTGAGAAACTCCGTCTGCGGCTCATTTTCCACCTCCCCCAACACAGCCTCCATTTGACTGAGCTGCTTCAGGTAGCTAGTCATGGTTTTGCGTTCATTCTGCAAGGCGTCTGTGGCTTGGTGTTGTACCCGCTCTGCTTCCTGGCCCAGAGAGGCCTCCAGCGCCCCTAGGTAGGCATGCATTACTCCCAGCTGCTCAGATACCTGTTGCTTGAATCGAGAGACAGTGTCCTGGACAAAGAGGGAGAGAGATGATGTCGAGATCATGCCCAGTTTTGGGATCACATCCAATTTTCCCTCCCCTACGGACTCCTCCTTATTCCCAAGAAACAGCCTCCTCAGATTCTTTCTGTTTTAATCCCCCCTTTTATTTCCTACTTGATTTTCCCAGCAATGCAACTTCAGCCCCTCAGGAGGTTAAAAACAGATCCAGTGTTTATTAAATAACACCTTTTCATGTGCAAATGTTCAGGTTGAGAATAACTATGAAGAACAGAGCCTTTCCTCCTTTTTTTGCTAGCGGGTGGTCAGTCAAGAAAGACACCCAGGATTTCCTCAACAAGTAATACATCACATGCACCCATATATGAATACACCCATATATGAATAGAAATGACTCACATTTACTTCTGCTATTTGCCGGTTCAGCAGGGCAATCATTTTCTCCTTGCGCACTTGAGCTTCTTGCAACTGGACTTGTTGCTGAGGAAGTTGTTTCTAACATTGTTCCGAGAGAGGGGGAGAAAGAGAATAAATAGGCGCAGCTCTCATGCGGAGCGATTGGAAACAAAATATTTATATTTCGTTTGATTTCGGCCCAGCGCCTTCATCTTGAGTGGTTATCATGGACTTGATGAGTTAAGGCCTGCATTTTTGTTAAAATCAATAAAGAAAATACCTTTTAAAACCAAAATAGAGGCCTCAGCTCAGCAGTGGAACATGCACTTTGAAGGGGGGAAAAATCCAGATTTCAATCCCCGAGACCTTCAAAAAAAGGCCTAGAAAAGACTCAGAAACTCTGGAAACTCATTCTTAATAGTGCTGGAAAGTAATTAGTTACATGTAACATAGTGAACTGTAACTAGTTTATGTTTTGGGTTAAAAAGGGTGCCAGGAACAGAATGAGCAGGAATGAAGTTGCCTTATTGACATGAACATGTTATGCCGTGAAGAGCAGCATATCAAAAGTTACTTTTTAAGGTTGTTTTAAGGCTTTTTAGAAACATTTTTGACAGGGATTTTTCAATAATTTTGCCATTCCCTTCCTAATTGACAAGGAAAGTATTCTTTTGCTTTATTTCCTGCACTCCTGTTTTTCATGGTACCAGATCAGAACTTGTGACTAAAGGGAACATTTCATTGTGTTCTGTTTCCTAGTGTGCAGATAACTGGCCCAGCTCATGTCAAGGAGGCAGAAAGGGGAATCAAACTCCCAACTCAAAATATTTGAGCCCCTGAGAATTCCCGGCAGAAATGGCAGAATTCTCATAGTGAAGCAGAGTGGGGAATCAAACTCCCAACTCAGACGCTTGAGCCCCTGAGATCTCCAGCAGAAATGGCAGAATTCTCATAGCGCAGGCTTACCTTCTTCTCCCTGTCTGGCACTAATCATACAAGACAAGAAGTACAGAGGGGTGGAGTGGGTGTGTGTGGAAGAGGGAGATTTAAAGGAGTAAGTCAAAGACTGGCAAACAAATAATAAGAGTGAAAAACACGAGGGCAATACATCTACAATTACCTGGAAAAGCTGGGCTGAAGAGATGCATCTACAGAAAGAGGACCTACCAGCTTAATTACTTAATACAGAGGAGGAGGTTCTAAGTTTCTGAGACATTGTGGCAAACAAATAAATGTATCAAGCTGAGAGAAAAAGAAAATAGATGCATAAATTATGAATAAATTTCTGTTCCTGGATTCTACTATGTGAGACTTAGAATAATGAACTTGGAAGGAGCCTACAAGGGGGGTGAAAGTTGTGTGAAATGCTTCCCTTTCGTTAATTTAAAAAAAGTGCTCTGGAGCTAAATAGCTAGATGTATGGGGGAAAGGTTCTAGATTAGTAGATGTACTCTCCAAGATGCTTGTTTGCTCTGTGGAGAGATTTCTTCCCACTTTGCTGCCCTCCCTGGCTGTCTGAAGTTGTATAGCATGCTGGTAGAGTTTTATCACATGACAAATTGTATGCTTAGGCTGTTGAACAGATTTCGTGCCAGGTGTGCCAACTGGATTGGGGAGGGCTGTTCAGTTTTCCAGATTCAAAAGACATCACCCCCTATCCTGACACGTACCTTCATCCTCTGGTGGGCCTCAGCCGCGGTGATGATGTTGTGGCCCTTGTGTTTGCCCAGTGAAGCGCACACGCCACAGATGACTTGCTGGTCCTGCTCACAGTAGACGCTCAGGGGGTCAAGGTGCTCCTCGCAGTGGTCATGAGGGACTTGCTTGAACGCCTCCACCAGGTGCTCCATCTGTTGGTTGATGCGCAGCTGCTCCACCTTGGTGAGCCCCTGGCAGGTGGGGCAGGAGGTGGACTTCCCGTCCTCTTCCTTGGGCACTCGGGACAGGCAATCCTGGCAGAAGCTGTGCCCACATTCGGTCGTCACAGGCGACTGGAAGAGCTTGAGGCAGATGGGACAGCTGAGGTCCTGGTGCATGCCCTGAATGAGACGCTGCTTGGAGCTAGACATGGTGGCTGATCAAGGGTGTCAACCTGGGCACCAAAAGAGGCTCTAATTACTTACAGTACCTACAGTATTTATTTAGAATGTTCTTTCTTAGGCTACTTCTTTAGAATTTTCTTAGACTATAAATACTCTGCTTTCCCAGCTGTACACACATCTCACACTGCCAGTTTCTCAGAACACCCTGAGCGGGGACTACAGAAGTAGGAAACAACAACAATATAAGGTATGCAGCATTCCCCACCTCCAGTCAGGTGCCCAACATAGAGTCCCACGACTTTTTATCCCAACAACATACCAACATGTAGCAGACTAAGGGGGAGGTTGGAGTAAGGAGACTGGGAAAGAGTGTTGTGGAGTCTTTCAGAAGAATTGAGGGGCTTGGGAATAAAAAAAAAACAAAGGGACTGAGGTTATGAAAGAGGACAGGAATCTGAAAGAAGCCATTGAGGGAAGATTATGGAGGATGAAGCTGTTGCTGCCACTTTCTGCCCCTTCTACCACTGCATTTCTTTGATGGCAGCATCACTGCTGAAGGGTGTGACAGAAACTAGATATGGGGGTATTTGTATACAAACACCCACACACAGGTGGGCATAACGAGGGCCCAGCCCTATGGGGCCAGACGGTCCACTCACCAATCCGCCACGGGGGCAGGTGCCACGGAACCTTCCAAGGGCTCTGGAGATCACGAGTGGCTCGCTAAACGGGATCTACAGAGCCATTGGAAGGCTCCGCAGTGCCCTCACCTGTGGTGAATCAGTGAGTGGACTGTCCGGCCTCATGAAGCTGGACCCTCGTTATGTCCACCTGTGCGAGGGTATTCATATATGAATACAAATACCTCCATCTCTAGACACAACCTGAGGCCAACATTTGCATCCCAAGACGACCAGATAGAGGCTTGGTTTATTTTATTTTTTTCTTCTCTCTTCTTTTCCTGGTTAAACCGACATTTTTATTTCTTTCCAAGTGCCTTTTAAAATTGGTCCTCTTTCCCATTTTCAGGAAATATGAAAGCTGGTCAGCTGAGGGCACTTGGTCTTATTTGAAGGCACTGGCCTTGTGCAAGCAAGCTCTGAGAGTTCCCACCGGAACAAAATGTGGACAGTCAGTGTTTCCCCATATTGAGGAAGATGTGTGGATAAAAAGCATAAGAAGGTACAGTATACTCAAGGGCAGTAACACCAATGGGCACGCAATACAATTTGGGTTTTTTTGAAGCAGTTTTTTTGGCTGTAAAGACTTTGTTGGGAGAAATTCAGCATTAGTCCTACCGAGAGTGGATCCCTTTAGATCAGGTGTTTCAAACCTTGGGTCCCCAGGTGTTCCTGGACTGCAACTTCCAGAAGCCTTCCCCGCTAGCTGCGCTAGCCAGGATTTCTAGGGGCTGCAGTCTAAGATTATTGGGGGGACCCAAGGTTGGGAACCATTACTGTAGATCAATGATGCTTAAGTTAGATGGGGCTACCCTGGATTCAGTGGTTCAGCTCTAAGTGGGACTAGAACTGGATTTAGCTCCATAGCTTTTTTGTTTTAAACTTTAAATAGTAATTGTTTAAACTTTTATTATTTAATGAATTATTTAAACTTTTAAATAGTAATTGAATGTTATTGCTAATTGAAAGGTGAAAATGATAAGCAAATTGATGGCTTCCCTTGCAAGAAAACATAAATAGTTGATGGTGTTGTGGGTTTTTCGGGCTCTTTGGCCATGTTCTGAAGGTTGTTCTTCTTCAGGAGATCAGATCCTGGCCATGAAAGCCTTCGAGAATACATAAATAGTTGAACTTAGCTAAATAGGAGAACACCGGGTGTCATAGAGTTAGGTCTGCTTCCAAACCAGTCCATCCAAGGATGGCCAGTGCCAAACTAACTAGAATGAATCCATGACTTGAGGAGATGGGCTTTTGTTGATTTCTCAACCACAGCCTCCTCTTCACAATTTTGTGCGTTCCTTGCAATCAGGGCACACCCATCTGACCTATTGCAAGAGAGGAACGCCAAAGCAGCTGCTGAGCTCTATGCAGGCCGTGGTGACAAATGCCCTATAAATAGTTCAGAAGGGGAAACCAGCATGGTAATTGGAGCTTAGCAGTGAGCAGCAGCTGCTTGCTTCTTTCTGCCTCTTCCGTGAGTGTCGATAAGAGTTGAGATCACTGTGACATTGCTGTTCAACGTTGTATGAAACCATACATGGCCAGATGTTCACTTCCTGTTTTGAAACATTGGAATTTTAGGGGACAGAAGGGCTCTGTAAGTGATTTAAAAGGTGAATTGCTACCCATAGAAACTTCTAGGAGCAGCAGTTCACTTTTTTTGATTGGAAAATGAAGAGAATGGGGAGCATTAGAGGCTAAAACACATCGCCAAATAGGGCCAATCCTGCTCTCTAAGTATACAGCTTTTCAATCTTCATTTGCAAATGGGGTCCCATGTTTAATTTGGCTTTTTTTCTCACCCTTCAAGGTTTTTATTTTCATTTTAGAGGGGCATGCATGCAATGATCATGTATAACAAATCTTTTCCATAGTTCACACCCCCCACAGCATCCACAGGGAAGGAGGGAGGGAGAAGCCAGTGGAGAGGGATTTTTTTCCCCGAGGGACAGTGTAGGGAAGAATCTTTTCTAAGACGGTGGTTGTAATCTGCACTTCTCAGAAATACACATATAATCTTTATAATGTAAGAAGGGAAAGCCAGAAATCCTTTATAATGAAATAAGGGAAAGCAAGAAACAAATGTTGCAATAAATATGAACATATGAAGTAAGCTGAGAACAAAAACAAGTGGAGGGGAAAGCAGGGATCAAAGCTATCCTACAGTACTTTGATCCCTTCCCCCCCACACACTTGGTAAGCCCCACTTAGATTTCTTAATTTTGGATTAGAAAAATGGGGGGGGGTCTTAAACATGGGGACATCTTATACATGGAAAAATATGGTAATTCATTTTACTGTAATATATATTGAATATTTATATAAAAAGAACACAAAGAGAGTGTGCACTGAATTCTAGTCTCAAGTTCACAGAGGAAACCTATGGAACTCGAAGCTTTCACACATTGAGGGCACTCCTATAAAACCATATTTTACTCTCTGGAGTAGCCAAAGTGAGCCCAATAAGAAACTAGTCTAGTGTTCTGTTAAGAGCATAGAAAATGTCTCTACTAGATCCCACCAAGGTACCTTGAAGTCAGCATTGTGTCTCCAGAATTGGCCTCTGAAAGCTCACAAGCAATGGATGATGACCCTCTCTTAATGCTTGTCCCTTACACCTCATGCTCAGAGGTATACTGCCTCTGAACATGGAAGCTCTGTTGTGGTGAAACAGGGGACAGCAAAATTCCATGCATTTGTCACCTCTCACTGTAAGCACACACTTCTAAACACATGATCATAACCTTTTTTCCTCTACCTTTCCTCATATCTCATGCTTCCAAAAGCCTCTGCCATGTTGCCCCCAACAGGCCTTTACAGTGTCTTTCAAAGGAAACAAAGGAGGCCACAGACCCTTTTGCTCTAAACCGCTCAGAAATCAAATATCAGGTCCAAGCTTGGAGTCTTTCTTTCCCAAGGAATAAACATACATTTCTACCTGGGAGTAGGATCCTTCATAGGCCATCTGTTCCCTTTCTTCCTGGAATGGCACTGATTCCAGCCATTGATCACCACTAGTTCTTCAGATCTATTAAGGCACCCTAACCAACTGCAATCACATTGCATTTGACCTATTTATTAACGGTGAATGAATGGCTCAAATGAGGTTACAAACAATGGAAACACAGGAATATAGTTAAAGGTATTCAACATGAAACTAGAAGGAACGAATGACCGACCGACTGATCGAACAAATGAATGAACAGACGGACAGACACAGTGATATAGAAAAAAAATCTTACTAGAGCAGACGATTGTTTAAAGAAGGCAGAAATGTTCAGAGAGCAAGTATCCAGAGATCACATAAGCATCAAGGAGAAACAGACCATCCTGGGACAGAAACCAAGCCAAATGAATTGGTCCCGCCCCAAGCCTCCCTATATATAGCTAAAAAACGCACAATGATTCTGGGAAGGTTGAAATGTCATCCAGATTTCGCATGTGCCTCTGAAGGAGGTGAGTGTTGGGGAGAACTCCCCACCCCCGCAGAAGACACTGCTAAACTGTCATGTTAGCTTTGTGCAGTCTTCTATCCAAGAGAACCCACTACAGACAAATACTTAATACTGTTGAGTGTAAGTCATTATTTCTTATCATTTCCCTTGGTGGATGAACAGTTGTCGGTAGTTGAATTCTTGAGTGTTTGGAGCAGCTGATGGCCAGGGCGGAGAGAAGGAAACCAGGGTATCTGATTTCCTGGCAAAGGATATTACAGAGTTATGGGCCGTTCGTGATTATATCTGGCATTTCAAGGTTTCGGGAATAGGCAGAGAAAATCAAGTGAGGGTCAAATGATATGTTATGGGTAGCCTTTCCTTAGATGCTAAATTCATTAGTGATCCAAGGAGATGATTTGGAAAAATGTTATCATTAAGTATTTACAGAGGAAGTGTATATTTTATTCCAGAAGATCACACAATGACACAGTGATAGGAGCTAATTTGAGAACTGTATGAAAAAGGTATGAAAAAGCTCCTATCTATCTATCTATCTATCTGTCTGTCTGTCTGTCTGTCTGTCTGTCTGTCTGTCATTTTAACCCTGTCTTTCTCCTTGAAATGCACCCAAGGCAGCTTACAACATTGAAATACAATATTTGAAATACAAAGTTGAAAACCATGAGTATACAATGGCGGTTAATATCAATCAAATACCTTATTTAAACCTAAGAATTACAATCACATCTTTTAGCACTTGAGGAAGCCCTTCCTGAAGCAAAAGGTTACTCATAATATACAGTTTGGCCTTGAACGGTGTAATGCGTGGTGTAAGAGAAGAAGCTGGATGTTTGTGATGATCCGTCTTTGGCCCCAGGATGGACCTGGAGATGGTTCTGGGAGATGATGAAATGCTGAATCGACACCATGACTGAACTGGTACAGATCATCCAAGTGGGTTCATATGACTGAATGGCTCATCCATTCCCATAAAATGAAACAAGATTTCCCTACATATTAAAAAAAACTAGCATGTAAGAGATAAAAGTTGAAGCCTACCCATCCCAGTCATCCCTCTGCTGTATTATTCTGACTGTGTGCTGAAAATCACACCTCCAGTCTGACGTGATACAACCTAACATATACAAATTGATTACTTCTATAGTCCCACCTGAAAAGCTCAGGTTGGTCAATGTTCTCCAGAACTCTATATGGAAGGTTAGGTGTGTGTGTGTGTGTGTGTGTGTCTGTGTCTGTGTCTGTGTCTGTGTCTGTGTCTGTGTCTGTGTCTGTGTCTGTGTGTCTGTGTGTGCGTGGGTGCATGTGCGTGTGTGCATGCATGCTTGTGTCCCTATGTACAGTATGAGAAACTGAGACTGACTGATTCTGACTCGCTGCCCAAGGTCGCTTGGGGAGTTCCAAGCAGCCGTTGTACGGCATGTAGTAGCCTGGCCTTTGACAATGAGGACTAGAAAAACCCACTTTCCTGTGGGATGCTTTTCCGGAGAGAAGCAAGGCTCTTCTGTCTCCTCCCTCAGATTAAATGCCAGCGGTTAGTGTAAATACAGGTTGCTGGAGAGTTCAGTGGTTTCCGCATCTGGCCACAGAGTCAGGGGTTGGGAGTTCTGTTCCCTGCTATGCCTCTTTGACAACGGCTGGACTTGATGATCCAAAGGCGTCCCTTCCAACTCTGCAGTTCTAAGATTGTTCTTGTAATGGTTAGCCTTTGAAGTGCCACAACATTTTTTTGTCTTTTTAATTTTTAAAAAACTTTTGCTTTTGCTTGATCTGCTCACAAGATGGCAGTATTCTTCCTCTGAGAACGTATTTCCTCTCATTACTACAGGAGCGAAGAGGTTTTATTGCACTAGGATAACTGGATTTTTTAAATGATTTTTTAAAAAAATCTTAAAACTGATTAAATGTAACTTTTAAACGTTTTTCAGTTTAATTTTTTTTTTAAGAACGGAAGACTCTTTAAGGGAAAATTCTCTTTAAGAAGAGATTTTCCTCCAGAATCAAATGCCTGTAGTAGTGGGTAAGGGGATGGACATTGAACTAAGAGCTCTGGGTTCGAATCCTCACTCAGCCATGGAAACCCTTTGTGGAGGGAGATGAATTGGTAAAACCACTCCTTTGATATCTCACTTGCCTTGAAAGCCCTATTAGGGCCACCAAAATCAGTCCCAACTTGATGGCACACAATACACACAATATAGGCATCTAGTTGCATTTATAAATGGGATATGAGGTTTTAACATCTAGCAGGGAATATATACCTTTGCCATTGAAGCAAATGGACTTGGGGATCAACTTGGGGAAAGTGGGCTTAGAAAGTATTCTGATTACAGTGGTGCCTCGCTAGATGAAGTTAATCCGTTCCATTGAAACCGCTGTCTTGTGAAAACATCATCTAGCGTAAAGCGTTTCCCCATTGGAATGCATTGAAACCCGTTTAATGCATTCCAATGGGGGGAAATGGTCATCGTCCAGCGAAAATTGTCCATAGGGAAGCCATTTTGCGAAGCACCGATCAGCTGTGTAAATTGCTGTCCTGCGAAGCATTGTCCCAAAAACACCCGTTTTGTGAAGATCGCCATAGAGAAGCCATTTTGTGAAGCCGCCAATCAGCTGTAAAGATTGTTGTCTTGCGAAAAAAAGGTCTGTGAAGCACGAACCAAATCATCATCCAGCGAAATCCCCCATAGGAAAAACCATTTTGCGAATCACTATAGCGATCGCAAAAAGTCAACGTCTAGCGAAAAAACCATTTTGCGGGGTAATCGTCTTGCAAGGTATGACTGTATTGTCATAATTAGAAACCACATAGAGAACTGCTGTGGTCAGGAGTTTGATTCCCCACTGGGCCTCCTTGACAGGGGCTGACCCATAGGGTCCCTTCCAACTGCAGTTTTAAGATGATGGTGGCAATGATGATTACATTCCAGGTGTATGTGTTCCTCGTGGAAAAAGAGGCAAGCATGGGTGTGAAATCCTCAACTAAAGTTACATCGTTGTTAGAAGGGAAGAAATGGGAGAGGGATCAAAATACACTTTGCCCCTTACTAAGCATAAATGGACCCTTGTTAAGTTAATTATTCTACATCTGGATGCAGCGCTGACATGAGTATACCCCATCCCAACCTTTCTTTTAAAACATAAATGGCAAACTAGCTTTCACCGACAGAAGCCGCTCTACTGCATCCATCTTGACCATCAGGTACAGGTGGTAGAATCGTGCAGTACAGATGCTGGGCCTCAACAGCCCCAGCGTGGCCAGTAAAAGTAGAGGCTCTATAGCTGTATTCCAAGACACACAGATCAAGACACACATCCCCGTGTGCTGTGTGTTCACTGCTCCATAAGCAGTCCAAATTGCAACGGATTTCTCTGTGTGATCACATCCAGAACATTTCCACACCATAAGAGAGAGAAAAAGCCAAGAAACAAATGTTTCTGAAAAGAAATAGATTCTTCACTTGCATTCTAATAGCCAAATCTGCTTAACCATTCCATAATCAAATTTTACAATAAAATGGCCTTTATTAGCGGTGGTAGATATTTTTTCCTGGTGCTGGAATCTCTATATCTTGGGAGAGGAGGAGCACGTCATACATTTTGTTACAATCAATCTTGTCCTATCACACACACACACTTTTTTTACAATAAAATGGCCTTTATTAGCGGTGGTAGATATTTTTTCCTGGTGCTGGAATCTCTATATCTTGGGAGAGGAGGAGCATGTCATACATTTTGTTACAATCAATCTTGTCCTATCACACACACACACTTTGTAAAAACATATTATTATTATTATTATTATTATTATTTATACATTTTGTTTATCAACACTTTAATCTCCTATGTATATCTAAGATATTGTCACGTTCCTAGGGGTTTCAGAAGGCAAAAGTCCAACAAGCCATACCAATATCAGAAGTCCAGAAGATACAAACAGATGCCAAATTGCCAAAGCCAAAAACACAAACCACAGTCAGAAGCCAGAGTCCAAAGCCAAGAGTCAAGAAAGCAAGGTCCAAGATAAGCAGGAGTGTGGATGCGAGCCAGAGTATTGACTAGTTGCTTCCACAAGCTTTCAAGCCTTCTGGGTGCAGATTATATACCCGGAGCAGTCATCAAGCTCCTAAAAGCCTTTCATCCTGTTAAAACTCAAGACTGGTTGACCTGATGTTTCTGTGGGAAGCATTCATGCGCGCCTCAGACCTTCGTGTCGTTAGTCCCTGCCGAAGCTTATCCCTCACTCTGGCTACTGGGGGAGGAAAATCTGTTGGTGATTCAGCTGTCTGTGATTCTGATTGCCCATGAAAGGGATTTTACAGATAAGGCAGTGCTCTTTCCTTTGCCGCAGCAGAGGTTTATCCAATTCAGGTACCAATATTTAGACAAGCAATGAAATGAGAGTCCATTAAGGTAAAGAAAAAATGTATTGTAGCAATAGTCACACATACAGAGTTGTCCTTTGTTCAATCCATTGGTCATACACAATAAAGCATTCAATATCAGTCCATTTATCATAGCATATATCCAGAGTCCATAGCAATATCCAGCATCATAAATCAATCCTGTAGAGTAGCTCCTTCTTCTCTTCGTTCAGTCCCCAACAAACAGTGTTCAGAGGCTGTTAACTTTATTGCCTCTAGTGGCCAATCAGAGGTTAGCTTCTCCTGGCTTCTTCTCCAGCATTTTGTTTCCACAGCTGAGTTAAATTAAACTGGTCAGATAGTTATTTGCACAGATGAAGTAATTGATGGACTCTTTCTACAAACTTTTCCACAAATTTTGATTATCAATTCTTACAGAGCTATTCCAGGCCTGTCAGCCCAGCATTTTCCTCAGCTGTAATTAACCCCTCAGAGTCCAGATCTTCTTCAGCTGAACTCATGACAGATATCTGTATAAGTAAAAAATAAATAAATCAAAATTCAAAAGATTGGGATGTACAAATGCTTCACCTTCTATAGGTGAAACCCATCCTGGTATTTTTGTGTACATTTTCATTTTTCCCCATAATACCATATTTTTCTGTGTATAAAACTATAAAGGTAAAGGTAAAGGTTCTCCTTGACAATTTTTGTTCAGTCGTGTTCGACTCTAGGGGGCGGCGCTCATCCCCATTTCCAAGCCATAGAGCCAGCGTTTTGTCCGAAGACAATCTTCCGTGGTCACACGGCCAGTGCAACTTAGACACGGAACGCTGTTACCTTCCCACCGAGGTGTTCCCTATTTATCTACTTGCATTTGCATGCTTTCGAACCACTAGGTTGGAGGGAGCTGGGACAAGCGACGGACGCTCACTTCGTCACGTGGATTCGATCTCACGACTGCTTGGTCTTCTGACCCTGCAGCACAGGCTTCTGCGGTTTAGCCCGCAGCCACCACATCCCTGTATAAGACTATACTTTTGTCTAAAATCTTTAGACTAAAAATTGACAGTCGTCTTATACATGGAAGAAAGCTAAGGAGAGAAAAACAAGTGGAGGGGAAAGCAAGGATCAAAGCGACCCTGCAGCGCTTTGATTCCTTTCCCCCTACACTTGCTAAGCCCCACTTATTTTTCTTAATTCTGGATTAGAATTATACATGGGGGTGTCTTATGCACAGAAAGATATGGTATATACAAGGAGTTTCTAATATAGTGGTTTTGGAAATACCTGCTATCACACCCCCTTTGACTGGTGATTCCAGTTTCACAGTGAATCTGCTCCAGGTTTTAGAACTGTTTTTTTTAACAGGAACTATCCTGGGTCCTGAAACCTGTGCCCAAAACTGCTTTGCTTCCATAGGAATTCCGACCAAACCCCGGGGCAGATTCCTTACAACATCCCTCCTGCAAAACTGAAGATGGTCTGTCTGCACACCTTCAGTTTATTTTGGCAGGCTGAGCAGTATCCACCGGTTTCTGAGGAATTTCAATTTTGCAAACACACAGCTGCGGAATTCCTAGAAAGGGTTTTAAACCAAAACAAAGGGCTTTGATCCAAGCAATACATTTCACGACTCATTGGGCGGGAATTGCCTTTTGTAGTCCCAAAAGCAACCTGCACAACAGAGGTGCATGGTGGTGAGAAAGTGTGTTTGGAGAAAGTGAGATCATCAGCACCCTTTGTGTGCTGAACCCTCTTTGAAAGCACCTCTTGAAATCACTATTTGGGAGAGGGCTAGTGAGATTTCCAAAGGACGAGGTCTTCCTCGGCTCTTTTCCAAGAGGACAGCTCTTTCATCCCAGCCACGTTCATTCCTCCTTCCCAACTTCAGAGATCGCGGACCAGAAGCCCATCCACTCTGCCGCTTTCTGCGGCTGTCCAAGGGCCGGCCTGCTCCTGTGGATATAAAGCAAGATGTAGCAATGTTATCAGTTATTTTGTATTCAACTTTGTGTTTCTAAAGGTACACAAGACTTACCCTGCATCCAGATCAAAAACTAAAGTGAAATATGAGCAAAACATAAAACAGATTTTGAGATCTTTGTGGTACATTCCATGTACAATTCAAAATATTTTTTTAAAAAATTAATCACAATACTGTAGTTCTGTCAGCAGGGATGGGACAGGCAGCCAGAAGGTGGCTGGGGTCCGATGTTTGTGTATTTCTCCAGAGTGAAAAGTAAGCAGGTTTGGGCAGCACCGGGACTCATCAGGAATTGCATCCTCCACATTTTACTTCACTGAGGGTGTGGGATCAGCCAGCTGCAAAAGCACCCCTCCGTCCCCACTGGGAAAGGTTGCTTGCTTTAAAAGGGAGCGATCTCGGCAAGGCGGCGGGGGGGGGAAGGAGAGCCACCAGGGGGCAGCAGAGAGGCGCCCAAAGGACAGCCAGGCTCCCGTTAGACCCGCCCCCTTTTCCTGGAAGCGCGCGGGCCCCGCCCACCGCCGGTTTCGCTCCCTCGGAGGTCCGACGGCAGCCGGGATCTGCTGCCCCCCTCCCCCGGCGCGGCTCCCGGGCGCGGACCTGCTGCTCCCAGGCGATGGCCATGGCGAGGACGGTGCGGGACCGCCTGCTGGAAGCCCTGGACGACCTGACGGAGGGCGAGCTCCAGCGCTTCAAGGCGAAACTCCGCGACTTCCCGGTGCCGGAGGGCTACAGCCACATCCCCCGCGGGCGGCTGGAGAAAGCCGGCCCCGTGGCCCTGGCCGACCTCCTCTTCCAATTCTACACCGAGGCTAAAGCCCCGCAGATGGCGGCCGGCGTCCTGGAAGCCATCGGCTGCAAGCCCCAGGCCGAGCGGCTCCTCCTCGGGGCCACGAGGAACGGTAGGAAGGGGGGGGGGACACGGGACGACGATCTGGGGGCGGG